GCTTGAACACACCAGCTGTTAAGCATGAGAAAGATGTAACAGCCAGCTTCTGTGGATTTGCAGCCTTGTAAATTCTATTGGGCTGTTCTGTTAGGACCTACAGGGTCCCTATGAGTTGGAATCAACTCTACGATAATGATTGTAGGGAAGATACATATTTTATTTACCCATTCTTTAGTTAATGGATATTTGGGGTTGCTTCCACTTTGAGGCTATTTGAGGCTCCTGCAAACATTTGTGGAGTCCTGGTGTGGCACTGTAGGATAGTGCACTAGACTCCAAGGTCGGTTTGAACTGCATGGTCGTCAGTTCAAACTCACCAGCAATTCCTTGGAACCCTATACAGGGTTGCTATGAGTCAGAACCGACTCAGTGGCACTTGATAGCAACAACACCATGAACATTGTGGCACTATAGAGTAAGTACTGAACTGCCAACCAAATGGTCAGCAGTTTAAACCCACCATCTACTCCTTGAAAATCCTGTACAGGGTCAGAACTGACTTGAAATCACTTGAGCAATACATGAGTTTTATACATAAGTTTTTCTGAAAGTGTATGTTTTCATTCCTCTTAAATATATGCTTAGGATCGAAATTGCTATGCCAAGCCTCTTTTTCTCTGACCATCAACTTTACCAAACATGGTATCCTTCTCCAGGGAATTGTCCCTTGAGATAGTATGTCCAAAGTATGTCCAAAGAGGCAAAGTCCAGCCATCCTGGCTTCCAAGGAGCACTCTGACTGTACTTCTTCCAACACAGATCTGTTTGTTCTTTTGGCAGAAGAAGATTTCCACATCTTTCTCCTGTGGAATGGCTGGTGGATTGAAACCACTGACATTTCAGTTAGCATTTAACCACTGCACCACCAGAGCCCTTGCAAACAGTTCTAGACAACCACTAATCTACTTTCTGTCTGTATAGATGTACCTATTATGGGCATGTCATATAAAGAGAACCAAAATATGCACTTTCAGTGTTGGTACTTTCAGTGTTTTCCTCCAACACCATAACTCAGATGCATCAATTCTTCTATGATCTTTCTTATTCACTGTCCAGCTTTCGCACACATATGAGGTTACTGAACATATGGCTTGGGTCAGTCGCACCTTAGCTTCAAACTGACATCTTTGCTCTTCAACACTTTAAAGAGGTCTTGTGCAGCAGATTTGCCCAGGCAATGCGTCTCTTGATTTCTTGAGTGCTGCTTCCATGACTGTTAATGGTTGATCCAAGAAAAATGAAGTCCTTGACAACTTCAATCTTTTCTCCATTTTCTATGGATGTTGTTTATTGGTCCAGTGGTGAGGATTTTTGTTTTCTTTACATTGAGATGCAACCCATACCGAAGGCTATGATCTTTGATCTTCATCAGTAAATATTTTAAGTCCTCTTCTCTTTCAGCAAGCAAGATTATATCATCTGCATATCACAAGTTGTTAATAAGTCTTTCTCCAATCCTGATGCCATGTTTTTTTTCATATAACCCAGCTTCTAAGTTTATTTGCTCAGCATACAGGTTGAATAAGTATGGTGAAAGCATACAACCTTGGTGCACAACTTTCCTAATTTTAAAACATTCATTGTTCCCTTGTTCTCTTCAAACAACTAACTGGCTCTTGGCCTATATACAGGTTCCTCATGAAATACTCATTCTCAATGTTGTCCATAGCTTGTCATGATCCACATGATTGAAAGTCTTTGTAAAGTCAATAAAGCACAGGTAAATATAGTTATGGTATTCTCTGCTTTGATCCAAGATCCATATGACATCAGCAATGATGTTCCTTGTTCCACGTCTGCTTCTGAATTTGACTGAAACCTGTGGAACTTCTTAGGCAGTGTATGATTACAGCTGTTTTTGCATTATCTCTAGTAAACGTCTAGTCCCATGGGTTATCAGTGGTATTGTCTGATGATTTCTGCATTCCATTGGATCATCACTCTTTGGAATGGGCACAAATACAGATCTCTTCTAGTCAGTTGGCCAGGTAGTTGTCTCCCAAATTTCTTGGCATAGATGAGTGAGTGCCTCCAGTGCTGCATCAGTTAATTGAAGATTTCCATTTGTATTCCATCAATTTCGGGTGCCTTGTTCTTTGCCAGTTACTTCAGTGTACCTTGGACTTCTCCTTTCAAGATCATTGGCTCTTGATTATATGCTACCTCTTGAAATGGTTGAATATTGACCTTTTTTTTTGTTGTTGTTTTGGTACAGTGACTCTGTGTATGCCTTCCATCTTCTTTTGATGCTTTCTGCATCATTCCATATTTTGCCTATGATGTTGTTGTTGTTAAATGCCATCGAGTCGGTTCCGACCCATAGCGACCCTGTATAGGGTTTCTGAGGAGCCGCTGGTGAGTTTGAACTGCCGACCTTGCAATTCAAATGACTTTGCAATCTGGCGCATTAACCCACAGCACCACACCAGGACTGCTTATTGTGGTGGTGGTTATGTGCAGTGGAATTGGTTCTGACTCATAGTGACCCTATACAGGGTTTCCGAGGCTGTAAATCTTTATGGGAGTAGAAAGCCTCATCTTTCTCCTGTGGAACAGCTGGTAGTTTTGAACTGCTGACCTTGACATTCGCAGCCTGATTCATAACCACTACGCTACCAGAGCTCCTTTAAAGACATTAAATCTACATGAAATAATATGGCTTGTTATTATTTAGTCCCTTCAAATCACTTCCGACCCATAGTTACCCTGTATAATATCTCAAGGATGTGGCTGGTGAGTTTGAACCGCCGACCTTATGGTTCAAACCAACTTTGCAGTCTAGCGCATTTACTCACTGTAGCACTCTGGGCTAATTGAAGTTGTTCAACACTTGGACCTCCTCATTTCTTCCATTTGCTTTAGTATCTCTCCTCTGTAGGGCAAGTTTCAGTGTCTCTTCTGACATTCATTTTGGTCTTTTCCTTCTATTTTGTCTTCTTAATGACTTTTTGCTTTCTTCCTCTATGGTGTTCTTGATGTCATCCCATAATTCTTCTGGTCTTCAGTCTTTAGTGTTTAATGTATCAAATCTGTTCTTCACATGATCTCTAAATTCACCCACGTGAATTTAAGGTTGTACTCAAGGTCATATTTTGGTTCTTGTAGACTTGTTTTAATTTTCTTTAGCTTCAACCTGAATTTGCATATAGCAATTGAATATCTATCTGTTCCACAGTCTGTCCCGCCCTTGTTTTGACTGGTGATATGGAGCTTTTCCATCGTCTCTTTCCATAGATGTAGTCAATTTGTGTGTATTCCATCTGATGGGGTCCATGTGTATAGTCGTCTTTTATGTTGATTAAAAAATTCATTTGCAGTGAAGAAGTCACTGGTCTTGCAAAATTCTGTCATGCAGTCTCCAGCATTGTTTTTATCACCAAGGCCATGTTTTCCAACTGTGAATCCTTCCTCTTTGTTTCCAACCTTTGCATCCCAGTTGCTAATTATTATTAATACATCTTGATTACATATTTGGTCAATTTCAGACTGAAGAACTTGGTAGAATTCTTCTATTTTATCCTCACTGGCTTTAGTGGTTGGTGCATAAATTTGAGTAATAGTCATAATAATTGGTGTTGCTTGTAGGCACGTGGTTATTATCTTGTCACAGACAGTGTTATACTTCAAGATAGATTTTGATATGTTCTTTTTGATGATGAATGCAATGCCATTCCTCTTCAGTTTGTCATTTCCGGCATAGTAAACCATGTGATTGCCAGATTAAAAATGGCCGGTGCCTATCTGTTTCATCTCATTAATGCCTAGGATATCAATTTTATGCATTCCATTTCATTTTTGACAATTCCAGTTTTCTCAGATTTGTACTTTGTACATTCCAATGTTCTGATTATTAATGGAGTTTTACCACTGTTTCTCTTCATTTTGAGTTGTGTCCTTTAAGCAAGTGAAGGTCACGAGGGCTTTCCAGTCAACTCTACTTCAAGGAAGCAGCTCTTTCTGGTCATATTTGGTGTCTTTCCAATCTGAGGGGCTAATCTTCCGGCACTGTATCTGACAGTATTCTGGTACTCTTCTTCATGTTTCAGTCAGTATTCAATGTTCTGGTGCTGAAAGTGTTCCAATATTATTCTTGAGGTTTTTATTGACTGATGTTTGGAAGTAGTCTGTCTTTCCTTCTTTCTAGTCTGTCTTCATCTGGAAGCTCATCTAAAGCCTGTTCTCTGTAGGTGTCCTGCTGGTTTTTAAAATACCTGTGGTATAGTTTCGGTAATCACAGAACTGTACAAGCCACCACAATATAACAAACTGACAGACAAGAAGTGGAATGATAATTGTAAACTGTCAGTAAATATTTGTTAAATGAATGAATGAATGCATAAAATATATTGTATCTGTATCTTCTATCCATGATACCTATCACTGAATATCATCATATACTGCTCCGAAAAATCTCTTAACTGAACACAAGAAAACATTGTAGTCTAACACATTTATTAGAATGTTTTAAATTTATATATCTAATTTAATATGGCAGGTAGCATTTAATCTCCATTGTACAGTGATAAACTGAGACACTAAAAAGCATAGTTATATGCTGGGTGTTGACCCAAACTTATTTTATAAATGTTTCCTATTCCTGTACTGTGTTCTAAAAGTCATTAAAATGAAATTATTTTAAAGTAGTCCAGTACTGAGAAATATGTTTAATGGGATTTGGTAGATGCAGTCATGAAGTGTAGGACTTACTACCATTTCAATGTACATTTATATACTATTGAACTACTTTTAATAGTTTAATACCTGTTCTCTAAGATGTCTTCATGTATGTTCCACTTCATATATATTCCACTTTCCTCTATTTCTATTAACAGAAATGTGTATATGATTTTTAAAATGTCTTTAACTCTCAGTCATTTTATTTCTTAAATCAGTTCAGGAGTTTTCCTAATTCTACAAAGTATCTTTTTTAAACTTGTGACTGTTTAAGAATATTTTGTCATTTTAAATTGAAGTAGATATTTTCCTTTTCCTTTTAGGTATTGACAGTTCTTCTTCCACAAGCAGTGCTTCTCCAATGCCCAACAGTTATGATGCCCTAGAAGGAGGCAGCTATCCAGGTAATTTGTTGTTTTTTTTCTTGGTTGAAGTTCATGTTTAAAGCTATTATCCATTAATTGCTTTCAAACATAAAAATAGATTATATATAATTAACAGGAAAGATGAGGCTTTCTACTCCCGTAAAGATTTACACCCTCGGAAACCCTATACAGGGTCGCTATGGGTCGGAACCGACTCGATGGCACATAACAACAACAACAACATATTTTCAACAGAAAAAAGAGAAACATTTTCCTGGTATCTTTTTTCCCCCCATTTCCCCTTATATCTCACAAATGAACAAAGCAGAAATATTTGATGCACATATAAATGTCTAGACGCCTGTCTTCAACCCATAGGCACACAATCTCTTTTAGTCCATGGGTCTAGAGTCCATGGATGCATCTCCATCTTTACATGTTACCATCTCCGCTGTCAATGTTTCTTCAGACATGGATCCTAAGCACCACTCATGCTCTTCCTTTCTGATGGTCCTGGGATTGTCTGTTTCTGGTAAGGGCCCTCCTAGTCCAGTTGGAGTCTGTCTTCTTCCCAGGTTTTGATCAGCACCAAGTCTCTTGGTAGGATGTGATGAACAATGAATTCCAAGGGATGGATTTGTACAAAGAGTCCTTTTAACAGTCCAATTTTCCCAACCTGGCTCATGCTCGAGATTGCTTGGTTACCTTTCCTGGCATCTTTTAAATTTTATTTTACTTATTGCAAAAAATTGTACCAACCGTCTCCCTCCTAGCACTCTACTTGTTGTTAAGTGCTGTGGAGTCAGTTCCAACTCATAGCAACCCTGTATAGGATTTTCGAGGAGCGGCTAGTAAGCTTAAACTGTCGACCTTGCGGTTCCACCTACCTTGTGGTTGAATGCGTATCCTACAGCACCACACCAGGACTGTAGCACTCTACTTAGCTGGCTTTAATAATTCATTGCAGTGCCACACATAGCTCAGAAACATATTCACAGTTGTGGGGTTTATAAGGGAAGTTAACAGATTACATTCAAGGTCAGAAATGCTCAGGGCACAATTCATCCAATCAGGATAGCTTCTTCTCTGCCATACAGTCAGGCAGGCCTGTTTCTGGCCCACAGCACCTTGGCAAAGCTCTTTTAGAACTGCTGATAAATGCCCAAAGGACATTCCATAACCCTACATAACCCCAGCACAGAGGTGCTCAGTTCTAACTCTATTAGTCAGCAAACCTAGCTCCCTGGTTAAGCGCATGGAGGCACACCACTCCACAAGTGAGCTTTCTGCCCAAAGACACTCAGCTTTAATTGCTCTGTGGGATGGTACCCTGGCTTGTGGTTCTGCTGCTGAAGCTCCTCTGCCACTTCTTTGGTGTCACAATTTTCTGTTGCTGGGCTGAGGAGATTCAATGCACAGGGATCTTGGGATCCAAAGTATGCACTCCACTCATGGCTCTTCCTCTTTCTCTTCCTCTGAGAATCCCCCATTGCTGCTTCTGAGATGGCAAATTTTTTACATGTTAGAGTTCCAAGATTTTATAGGTTAATCACAATGAACCCTGTTAACAACCTAATAACAGTGGAATCATATAATCTTACCAGTATCTTCTGCCACCCTCTCTTGTCTAGACCCATTAGTGCAGAAAAAGAAACATTTGGTAGGAGTTATAAAGACTATAGGTAGAAGAGCCATATGAAATAATTCACTACATTGTACTTATTTATTCATTTAATGACTTATTTCACAATTTTAAGTGATATGTAACTTAACAGTGTTAAGTGATATATAAATATTTCTGGAGGACCTATGGAAATTTATTGTTTTATTTGTATTATAATTCACTTTATTTTTGTCCTCTTTCTAAGATATTTTTAATAGTGAATAATTTGTTCTCTTTAAAATCAAATTTTAGTGTTTGTTTTTTTTTAAGATTTAAATTTTTAAAAGAGAAAGACTAGCATTTCATTAGATTAGTTTTATTTGGCTTTTGCTACATACCAGACATTGTTCTAGGACCTAAAACACTACACTCACAATTTTGTCTTTGCCAAATAATTCAAGCTTCTGGTGGAGGACTCTGGAAAATGCCATTCTTTCCATATTCTTCTGCTTTTCTTTTCTCTTGAACGCAGAATCCACTGAAAAGCAAGTTACAGAAAAGAATAGTTGACACTATTGCTTCGTTTCTTGGCCCCATTCCTGCTGAGAGAATTAAAAATGAAACAAAAAAAAACTATCTTAGCGGCATATGTGCTTAAAGTTCTGATCTGTTGTTAGAAATAGCACCTGAAGTGTACGCCAGTAAAATTTAGAATCTGGAGTTTGCTTGTAAATACTACTGTAAAAGCATGGGAATGAGAACAACATATCAGACAAGTTTAGCAAAATACTGATAATTGTTGAAGCTGAGTGGTGAGTACGTGCAGGTTCATTATTCTATGTGTTGTTGTTGTTGTTATGTGCCGTGGAGTCGGTTCTGACTCATAGAGACCCTGAACAGGGTTTCCGAGGCCGTAAATCTTTACGGGAGCAGAAAGCCTTATCTTTCTCCCACAGAACAGCTGGTAGTTTTGAACTGCTGACCTTGTGGTTCACAGCCCGATTCGTAACCACTACGCTACCAGAGCTTCTTGTTCTATGTGTATATTTGAAGTTTTTCATAATAAAGCATTAAAATAAGAAAACAGAAAAAGCCATTGATTATGGCTTGCTCAGGAGTCCAGTGTTTGTAAAGTCTTGGTTCTCAGACCTTAACCATGTGTTTTCCCTTTGTTAGATATGCTTTCTTCATCAGCCAGTAGTCCTGCTCCTGATCCTGCTGCTGACCCTGATCCTGGTCCAAGTCTGGCTCCTGCTGCTCCTCAGCCTACAAAGCTGTCCAAACCTTTTGGTTATGGTTATCCATCTCTTCAGCCTGGTTATCAGAATGCTGCAGCACCACTGAATTCTGGGGTGCACTCCAGTAGCCCAATGTTTTCTGGATTCCAGCAGTATGCTCAAGTATGTATTTGGTCCTATAAAGACATAGCATTTCTGAAAATTATGAGACTATTATCAGTTCTAACAAATCCCTGGTGATGCCTATGGATTATAGGTATAAATGTGGATGCCTGAGTCAAAGATACTTAGAATTTGTTATCAGTATTTTTGTGTTCATACTAGAAAGAGATAAAATATAGGTATCTCTTATTAATTAGATTAAATCTAGCTCAAATATATTAGGGGTAATAGTTATCTTCATTGTATTTTCATTTTTTAGGTTCTCTGTAATGTATATTACTTTTAGAATGAGGAAATCCAAATAAATGTGTTTTTTTTTATTTATATATCATTAAATTGGTTCTCCCGCCTCAGAAAATGACCTGATTTAAATTTAGTTCTGTTTAATAATACAGAATAGCACACCTGGTGTGGCACTCTGGGTTAATGTGCTGGACTGCAAGGTCGGTTTAAACTGCAAGGTTAGCTGTTCAAGCTCCTTGGAAACCCTATACAGGGTTGTTATGAGTCGGAACTGACTCAACAGCACTTAACAACAACCACAAGTAAGCATTTAAAATTTATATTTAGAAGAAATTATTGAAATAAAGCAGTCTACTTTTTAAAAAACTGTTCTTATTATACTAATGTTACAGAAATTATATCGTTTTATGGACTGAAAATGAAGGTTAAATGAAAGTAGAAAATCTTTTATTTCTGCTGGTAGCGTAGTGGTTACGAATCGGGCTGCAAACCTTAAGGTCAGTGGTTCGAAACTACCAGCCGTTCCGCGGGAGAAAGATGAGGCTTTCTACTCCCGTAAAGATTTACACCTTCGGAAACCCTGTACAGGGTCGCTATGGGTCGGACCCAACTCGATGGCACTTAACAACAACAACAACCTTAGAATTGCTACTCAGAAGAAAGGAGTAATATGGTTGATTAGAAAGAACATGCAGCTTGTTTTCTTAGATTTCCTTTAGGGTTCATTGGTCCAGATGAAATACTTGTTAAAATAATCTTATCAAACTCCTTTATGCTTTAGGCAAATTCATATCTCTGTGTCATAGTATAATTTATTTACTTATATGCTTTAAGAAGAGGAAAACCAACTTTCAAAATGGATTTCATTCTTAGAAATGTTGGGTTTGGGCAAGGGAAAAAAAATTTTTTTTTTTTTTTTTAAATGTTCTTCTATAATGGCATATAAAGGGATGCACAAACTATGACTTGGGTCAAATGTAACCTGTTGTCTATATTTGTAGATGAAGTTTTATTGGCACGTATTATAATACAGTTGTGTTGTGTTGTTGCAGTAGAGACAGTGTGGCTCTTAAAGTTTTAAAATTTTTACTATCTGACCTTTTACAGAAAAAGGTTGCTAATACTGATACAGGAAAATGGGAATTACTATTATTTTCTCATTTTATTTGAGAGGTTATTTTGGAAAAGTGAAGAGTTTAGCATTAGGAATGAAAGTATAAATTAATATTCAGTATGCAAGGTGGGGTTTTTTATACTAGTCTTCTGTGATTACAATACTTTTGACCTCTAGGCTTTTAGACCAAGAGTCACAGGAGTTTGTATAAAGGGGACAGTGATAGACTAAAAGTAACATGGGTTATTAATTTGTTGAAATGAATATCATAAAGTCAAAGTATGTAGAAGTAGCCTGTTAGTGGTGATTTGCTCCCACCGTTACATTTTTTAGTGTTATTGAGATGCAGCATATATTATATATAAAAGTTTACAGATCAATAGCATATAGTTTGATGAAATGTTGCAAATGAACTCACTCACCAAAAAGCAACTACAGGTCAGTGTCATGGCCCTTTGTTGTTGCTGTTGTTTTGTGCTGTAGAGTCAGTTCAACTCATGGCGACCCTGTATAGGGTTTCCGAGGAGTGGCTGGCTGACTTAGCAGTTCAAACTGACCTTGAGATTGAGTGCTTATCCTATGGTGCCACACCAGGACTCCATCATCACTAATTCCCTCCTACCCCCAAACAAGAATAACTATTATCCTAGCATCTATAAATTAGTTTTGCTTACTTTTAAACTTTATGTGAGACCATACTGTATATATTCTCTTGTTCCTGGATTCTTTTTAGTCAACATTCTTATTGTTACATTGTTGTTGTTTGGTGCCATTGAGTCAATTCCTACTCATAGCAACCCACTATAGGGTTTCCAAGGAGTAACGTGAGTTTGAACAGCCGACCTTGTAATTCAAATCAACCTTGCAGTCCTTAGCTTATCCCACAGTGCCACCCCAGGACTCCTATTGTTATATAATACTGTATTTTGTGACTATACAGAATTTATTTGTGTTTTCTATTGTTGATGGGCTTTTGAGTAATCCTACTTTATGGCTATTATGAATAGTGCCACTGTGAACATTCTCATGCACATCTTTTAGTGAACTTGTATATGTAGGAATGGAATTGCTTGGTCATGGGGTATCTGTATGTTCAACTTTTAGCAGATACTTCCAAACAGTTTCCAAAATGGATGTTCCTTCCTTTAGTAGTGTGTGAGAGTTCCAATTGCTTTACATCCCTGTCAATACTTGTTATTTTATCTTTTTATAATAGGCATTCTCCGCCTCTGATTTTATGTGAGGTCACAGATCTTGATAAATAATTTCTCCAACACTAGACTTGTTCTTAGTGTGCAAAAGATGTTGCGCTTCAGAGTTATGTACACCCCCCACCCCCTACCCTCCCTTAACTAGTATAGTAGGGATGGGCAAAATAAAATCAAAATCAGGTGTGATATATGAGGGAGCTTCAAAACGTTTTGGGGAAAATTTCCTTTTTGTTCCATTTTTCCATACACTTTGAAGCTCCCTTGTATGTATCTCTTTAAGGGAGCTTACAAAGCAGTCATTTATTATGGATGGTCTAGTCAGAATTTAAAATGGTTTTTGAAATAGCTACTGTTCCAGGGCCAAAAAAACAACAACAAAAACCCAATAATGATTTAATCATATAGTTTAGGCCTACATTTAAACTCTTATCTATTATAGAATATAGATTTCATCTAAGATTAACATTGTCTATCAAGCTCATTGGAGCCCTGGTGTGGTGCTGTGGGTTAATGCGCTGGCCTGCAAGGTTGGTTTGAACCACACGATTGGTGGTTCAAGCTCACCGGCTTCTCCTCGGAAACCCTATAAGGGTCACTGTGAATTGGAACCAACACAATGGCATTTAACAACAACTGCATGAAGCTAGTTATAAAATAAACCATTTGTTTTTGAAGCCCGTTGTTGTTGTTAAGTGCCATCGATATTGCCTTTAAATATTGCACTTAATGTAGCCCAATGTAAGGATTCTGAATCAAGAGGTTTTTTGAATTAATTAATATGAGAAGATCTTGATTAAGCAGTGGGAAACCCCAAATTGACCTTTGAAAGAAAGAAAACAAACCTTAAAATTTGTTTTCCAGGTTTGGAAAACAGGAAAAGTGGAACAACCAGATATAGATAACATGTAGCTGTTTTTTATTTTTTGTAAACTTAGTGCAGAAACGAGAAAAAAAAAAAAGATAGATATTAAATATCAATCCATATTCGTACTACTAAGATATAACCATGGGAGAAAGGTTAAGCTTTCTGTTCCCATGAAGACTTCCAGCCTTGCAAACCCTATACAGGGTCACTATTAGTCGGAACCGACTCCACAGCACACAGTCACCAAGATAGAACACAGCAAAATGTGGCAAGTTTTCCTTCTAGGCTTCCTGCCTTGAGGAAAAGTCAATAAGGAAGCTGGTCATTCAAATGATTTGCTTAACCAAACAAAGGAAGTTGATAGATGTGGATAATGTTTAGGAAATTTCTTATTCCTTTAGGAGTATATGAGGAAATCTTAACGTATCACTGTACACTCTTCATCATGTGATAGCTGTATAACATTTCATAATGTAGTTCCCTGTTGATCATAAATTAATGTCATAGTCAACATACTTGTATATACTTGTTAAGTGCCGTCAAGCACTTGGGGGTTTGAACTGCAGACGTTGTTCACCAGGAGTGGCCCTTAAACAGTTCATGACAAAAGTCCATTATCTCTCACTTCCATTTTCCATGAGCCCCCTCATGTATATCTTTCCTCATTTTTCTCATTTCCTTGGATGAAATTTCTGCAAGTCAGATTACCTCATTTTATAAGACTTTAATTGTACATTCATTAAATACTTACTGAGTTCCTGCTGTGTTTCAGCACTAAAGATTCAAAACCTGAGTGAACAAAACAGTTTCAGTTCTTAAGAAATGTAAAATTATATGGTTAATAAACATATTTTTAAATGCTCAGTGTCATTAGTGATTGTTGTTGTTAAGTGCGGTCGAGTGACCCTATTTAGGGTTTCTGAGGCTCTTGAACCACTGACTGCACTTCAAACCCACCTTGCACTCCAATGCACTAACCCTCAGCACTGTGATTAGGGGAATATAAATCAAAACCACATGGAATATCACTTCACACAGTGAGATATGACCCACTGCCCTAGAGTCTGGTTTGTGTCGCAGTGGCCCTATAACAGTGCAGAATTGCTCCCATCGGGTTTCCAAGGTTGTAAATTGTTATGGAAGCACACTGCCACATATTTCTCACGGAGTGGCTGGTGAATTTGAATCGCAAATTTTTCTATTAGAAGCTGAATGCTTTAATCATGGTGCCAACAGGACACTTCACATTTATGAAGATGGCTATATTTTTTAAAAATGGAAAATAGCAGGTATTGGTGAGGATGTGGAGAAATTGGAACCTTTATGCATTGTTGGTAGAATGTAAAATAGTGCAAGTGCTTTGGGAAATTTACGGTTCTTCAAAACGTTAAGCATAGAATTGTCGTGTGACCTAACAATTCTACTCACAGGTATATACTAGAAAGAATTAAAAACAGATCCTTGTACTCAAATGTTCATTGTAGCAATATCCATAGTACCCAAAAGACAGAAACAATCAAAATTGTCAGTAGATTTGTCAGTAAACAAAATATTGTGTAGGTGTGCAATAGAATATTTATCATTAACAAGAATTCTGTTACATAGTATGGCATTAATGAACTTTGAAAATTTTTGTTAAATGAAATAAAATAAAACTGGACACAAGACCCAATGTATGATTCTACTTGAATAAAATATCAGAATAGGCAAATTCTTATTAGCAAGTAGATTAGATTATGACTACAAAACATTCTGAATATAATTAATGCCACTGAACTGTACAGTTATAAATGACTAAAATTACAAACCTTGTTATGTTTAAAAAGTAAGTAGGAGAAACAGTAAGCAAAGCAAAACTCATTGAAGGTCATTGTACATTTCTCTAACGTCAATTCATTCTGAAAATTGATCACTGAAAAAACATAATTTCAATTAAGTATTTTTCCTGCCTTTGTAGTATAAAGTGTATTTCAGGAAAACCAAATTCCTGATGTTGAAAGCATTATTCCTGAAGTTTTGTTGTGTTATTTAGTCTTACTAGTAAGGTTTAAATTTATCCAGTGTGTTCCTTTGAGTTTTATTTTCAGTTATGCTGTAAATTGACTTTTCATGTTTTCATTCCATCATTATCAAGCCAGACTTAAATTTTCTTAGCTTCTTGCCTGTTCTATATGTTGAAATTCCATGTGCATGCTTATTATAAGACATTTTAAGCATGTTTGTTTAATATTCTGTTTGTGTGTTTTTTTAAAATGGTCTTTCAGCCGTATCCTGGAGTGAACCAGTTGTCGTCTAGTCTAGGAGGATTGAGTCTTCAGAGTTCGCCACAACCAGAAAGCTTGAGACCTATAAACCTCACTCAGGAGAGGAACATTTTACCCATGACTCCTGTTTGGGCTCCTGTACCTAATTTGAATGTAGATCTCCGAAAATTAAATTGTAGCCCAGAGTAGGTATTTATTTTTTAATCTTTTTAAAAAGTATGTATTATATGCCTTTCAGAAATAATTTGGAAGCTTCCCTGATTAGAAGCTTTGTTTATAAAGATTTTTCTATTTTAGCTTGTATAGAAAATCTGCGTCTGCTTTTAGATGTAGAAGTGAATATATGTCATCTTTTCCTGTCCCCAACTCTACCTCTACGTAGTCCTGTTCCCTGCCCCCTAGTGGCAGGAATAGTTTTTCTATTTGAGTGAAGGATTTTGGTGGTGGTGGTGTGCCGTGAAGTTGGTTCTAACTCATAGCGACCCTGTATAGGGTTTCTGAGACTGTATACGGGAGCAGAAAGCCTCATCTTTTTCCCGCAGAACAGCTGGCAGTTTCGAACTACAGACCTTGAGGTTAGCAGCCCAACTCATAACCACTACGTCTCCAGAGCTCCTTGAAGGATTTTAGGAACCCAGATTTATATAGTTTTGTTTACCCTCCCACCCCTTAAATCTCTTTCCCTCACCTTTCATCACTGGTAATTTCTGATGTCTTTTAAGTAATACATTAAAAAACCCACTGCCATCCATTTGATTCTAACTCATAATAACCCTGTATAGGTTTCTGAAGCTATAAATCTTTACTTGAGGAGACAGCCTTATCTTTTTCCTGCATGGAGCAGCTAGTGGGTTTGAACTGCCTACTTTGCGGTTAGCAGTCCAGTACTTACCCTAAAACGCCATTGGAGCTCCTTTTAAATAGAAGAGAATCTTTAAAAACTTTATTACGTTCTTCAGTCTTTGCTTGACAAGGGCACAGATCTCAATTATATAATCCCACAAGCATGTTTAGATAAATGGTTTCTCTCTGGGTTGTCCCCCCATCTCCCCCACCCCCAATTCAGTGTACAATGGGACTTAAAAGAGTTTGTGGAAACATTCCATTATGTTTTCATTCAAGCTTTCCGTGAACTTTTTGACGCCTTCTCATAAAGTTTGAAAACTAATAATCTCCAGACTTACTTATCCCACCTAATTTAGATTTGGACTTTCTTTACTGAATATTTCCTCACCTCGCACAGAAGTTTGGTTGGCAGTCTGCATCTGAGGGATGAGCTCTGGTACTCACCACACAGGGACTCTAAACCAAATGTTCCTTTTTCTTGTCTGCTATCAGTACTTCTGTCCCCTAAGAATAAGCTAGCTCTCTAGACCAATAGTTTTTTGGAAGATGTTTTCCTGCTCCTAGAATCTGTCCTCCCTCATAAAGTAAACACTGATTTACAGCATTGTCTTCTTTATATTAGGAGAACTCATGTTATTTACAGCCAATATTTTCCTTTCCTTGAGGTGTTTTTGTTTTCCTTATAGACTTCTTTTTCACCCAAAATCTTACATAGAATCAGAAAGTAGAAATAGAAAGTGGAGTCACTCTGAGGTTCACTTTTTTTTCCTACCACACTCTATCATCCCATCAGTGCCTAACCTAAGGCAGTGCCAAGATAACTTCCATAAAAGTGCCGGATGTGTATGATGTATTAAAACCACTGGCTCTCTAAGCTGCTATCAGGTCAATAAGTATTAGTCTTGTCATATGGGTGGTTAGGTATCCTCTAAATAGATGAATATAATATGAAATCATATATATGTGTGGAGCTCTGGTGGATAAGCACTGGACTGGTGTGCATTTGAGACCTACTAGCTATTCCATGGGAGAAAGATGAGGGTTTCTTCTCCTGTAAAAACTTAACAGCCTTGGAAACCTTACACAGGTTCACTATAAGTCAGAATGGACTCATTGGCAGTGGAGTGTTTTTTTTCTTTTCTTTTTTTAATATGCATAGGTACATATGCAATGGGGTGTCAGAAAGTTTGTGGAAAAATGAAATTAAAAGATAGTGGAATTTTCCCTTGTACTTTTTGAAGTCACCCTCATGTGTGTGTCTGTGTGTTTATGAAACCCCAGAGAGAAAGGGGTAGGAAAATGGCTTATATGTTTCTACCCAGTTATATAATTTCTGCAAAAATCATTCTTCAAAGGTGCTAGCTACCCTTGCTAAGGACTATCTTATGAGAGTTTTCCTGGGAAATCTTACACACCCCCATATCAACCCTACAACCTTAATCTTGCCCCTTCAGACTTCTTTTTGTTCCCAGAATTCAAAAAATATGTCAAAGGAACACAATATGAGACTTTTGAAGATGCTCATACTGTCATTTTGAAGTGTTGAAAATTGAAGAACACAGAATTCTTAAGGGAGGAGTGGGAGCTATGGAAATACCACCTTCAGAAGTATACAGACATAGAGAAGCAATAGCTTCACATTTTGATAATTTTTGTTTAGTAAAGGTTTCTATTATTTGATGACAATGTTAGGTGGGTAACTATTTTTAATTGTGGAGTCAGAACAGGTGTTCTCCAAGAGTTCCCCAGTTAAAATATAAAAAAAATTAGAGATCTGCATGAAGTAATTGAGAAAGCTATGTGACAAGAGTGTTCCAAATGCAGGAATAAGTTTGGCGTGTTCAAGAAACAGCTGTAAACCTGGCACCAGTAGAGCCGGAGAGACGTGGAGTAGTAGAATATGTGTACAGAGAGTTAGGCCAGGCCTTACGGGCCAGTGTATAGTGTCTGGAGTTTGCTTTGACTGCGTTGGGTAGAGGTGGAGGTAATTAAGAATATCTTAAGATATAAATGAAAAGAGTTTAACAGATGAATAAAGGAGAAAGTGGGAATTAGCATCATTATCAGAGATAATCTTTTTCACTCATGGTTTTGACTCCCTCTTATACATGGTAGTTACAGTGAAGTGATTTTGTTTGTTTAATGCCTTAAAGTTTTCTACCATGAAAATGATAGTTCTTAATTTGGTCTTTTGATATTTACAACATATCAAAATATATATGTCTGCTTGAAGTAATCAGGATCTTCCTGGTTACAGCTATATAATACACCCAAACGATTTTCATTTATGTCTTAAATGTTCTTCATTACTTCTAACTCATACTTACTCAGTATTTTTTTTCTGATAACTAATGTTAGTCCATGTTATTTGTGTTGGGTTTTTTTGTTTTGTTTTGTTTTTGCAGTTCCTTTCGGTGTACTTTAACAAATATTCCACAAACACAGGCTTTACTGAATAAAGCTAAGCTTCCTTTAGGATTGCTGTTACATCCTTTCAGAGACCTAACGGTAAGGTACCATATTTTTTTTTTTTTTTTACGTGCTAACGTGTACTTTTGTGCAAGATACTTACAATGTATATTAGATTTTTGTCAACCTCCTTCTTTTATTTGTTAGAAATAATCATTTCTGTCCAGTCCAGTTCAGCAAACATTTTCTGAACTTTATGATAGGACTTGAAGCAAGCACTGATTATACAGACATGATTAAGTCACTGGCATTGCCCCTAAGAAATTCTTAATCTAACGAGACAAAGGTATAAAAAGACTTACACAGGGTAATCAGTATATATAATTGATCAGGTTCAATGAGGTACTTCAGGAGTGAGTACAGAATGGAAAGTGAGTTCCTCTGGGTAGCATTGAAATAATTTTGTATGACATGAGATCTAAGCTGTATGTTGAAAATTTAGTAGTTTAGAAATTGGTATGGTCAGAGGGTAGATCAACCTTCGGAGGCCTTGGAGAAAAACTACATGATTGTTCTTAATGATATTAAACAAATAACCTTTGTTACAACAGGAAAATGCCAAATGCAGCGAATTTGTTGAATCAAAATATTAGTTGTTTACTGGCTTTATGGAAGTAGATCACTGAACCTGTTATTTCTGTACTGCTTCTGGGTGGCTTCAAATCACTAATCTTTCAATTATCAGCCATTCAGGGACCTTGAAACATTACTTATGTTTTGATGGTCTATTTGGTTTAATAGCCAGCTTGCTAGATTTTATACATTCTTCTGGTATTTCATGTAAATATACTGTATTTAAATTTAAATTTTCAGAGAAAACTTTTTCCAGAGACATTTATTCTTCCTAAATTTTACTTCTTAGCAATTACCAGTGATAACGTCAAATACCATTGTGAGATGCCGATCTTGTCGAACATATATCAACCCTTTTGTATCCTTCATTGATCAGCGTAGATGGAAATGCAATTTGTGCTATAGAGTTAATGATGGTGAGTTTTACATTCTTAAAATAAAGAGTGTTTTAATAGTATTTTAAACGTTTTCTAACATTTTTGTCATTTTCCCCATTTGCTTTAAAAATGTACTCTCATGCCATTTTTAGTGAAACTTTTAAAGGAACATGGAAAAATGGAATTGAAAGATAATGGAATTATTCTACAAACTTTGCAGGTCCCTCATAGTTTAGGGATATTTCATTTTAGCTGGCGAGGGGGATAGTTAACAAAAGAGAGGGTATAGTAAAAAGCTCATTTAAAAACAAAAAAACAAACAGTAAATGTCATGCAGGTGAGGTCATGCAGATTTCTTATACTAGCCCTGATAAGTTAGGTTGTCATCTGTTTGGTGTATTTGGTTCATTCAGCTCATGTCAGGGAGACCATCACATATGCTTGTGTGACTGTCTCTCTATTGCCCCCTTTACTCATAATCATTTTCAAATGTGTGCTTCTCTTGACTTTTTTTCCCCCATCTCATTTGGTACATAATAAACAGTTCATGAGCCTAAGAAAAAAAGTTACCTGTGCCCTGATTTTCTCACCTGATTTCAGAAAATAGTTTTTTTTCTTTCAGGTTTATAACATCATTCATGAGCCATAGAAAATTGTCACCATAAAAATTAGCATTGTATATTTGGTCAAATATTTAATTAACTCACCTCTAAGAAGTCTTAATGTGGGGCTATGGGCTAATGTGCTGGACTGCAAAATTGGTTTGATCCACAAGTCGGCAGTTCAAGCTCACCAGCTGCTCCTTGGAAACCGTATACAGGGTCGCTATGGATCCGAACTGACTTGTCAGCACTGAACAACAACAGCATTATAGCTAATGTGATGGCAGGATTTCTGATGTGGCCCTGTGGGATCATGCACTGGACCACAAGATCGGTTTGAACTGCAAGGTCAGCGGTTCAAATTCACCAACTGCTCCTCAGAAACCCTATACAGGGTCACTATGAGTCAGAAGTGACTCAACAGCACTTAACAGCAACAACAACATCGTGATGGCTGGAATTGTGGTTGCCTTGGCAGGGTCAGATCAAATGATTTTGAGGGCCTTATATGGCCCTCCTGGAGTCCTGGTTGCTTGAACTGCAAGGTCGGTGGTTCAAGCTCACCAGCTGCTCCTTGGAAACCCTATACAGGGTCGCTGTGGGTCGGAACCGACTTGATGGCACTGCACAACAACAACAATATGGCCTGTAGAGTCCTGGTGTGGTGCTGTGGGTTAATGCATCAGACTGCAAAGCCGTTTGAACTGCAAGGTCGGCGGTTTCAAGCTCACCAGCTGCTCCTCAGAAACCCTATACAGGGTCACTATGGGTACTTAACAACAACAGCAAATACATATGGCCTGTGGCCTGTGGGTTGGACATTCCCCACCCCTGCCCTAAGGGATTAGTTTTTGCCACTGTTTATACAACTCAAAGCCTCATAAAAACATTTGTGATGGAGGTGTTTATTTCTAGGGGTGTGTTGTGTATATGTGTGTGTATGATATATGTATATGTTTTATTACAAATTATGTTACTAAATTTGACCTGGATTCCTAATTCTTGTCTAGTTCCTGAGGAATTTATGTATAACCCCCTTACTCGATCATATGGTGAGCCTCATAAACGACCAGAAGTTCAAAATTCAACTGTGGAATTCATTGCTTCTTCAGATTACATGGTAACTATTAAATGTTAAAATCAGTCATGGGATATAATTACAGGTAGTCCCCATCTTACAATGGTTCCATTCCGGCAACTCAGTCTTAAGTTAGTTCTGACATAAGTCAAATATGTCTCTTTTTTTAGTTTTATTATTAATGCCTTTTATGATCAGTATCTTTATAAATTTGATCTTTATTTGTCTTTGTCTGTGGGGATTGGGAAATGTAAATTTAAAGATGTTTTCAGATATACATACATTTAAAGTTATGTAAATTGTGAAAATCTGTTCCGATAATGAAGCATTAGATAACGTAGATACTTTGTCAGTTGCAGTAATAAACTCCACTTGTGGAAGATTAACTGTATTATCCCTGGGAATGAAAGGACATTACTAGTCAGATAGTTAAATGACAGCTGTTTGTGTGTCCCTTTTCTTTTCTAATTCATGTATTTTGTAGCAATAACTCACTGCTTCCTGAGTCTGCCTATTGACGTTAGCAAACTGATCAGTGTTTCCGTACATCATTTCAAGCAATTGAAGCACCTGATCTACTTTAGAGAAAAAAATTGCAGTTAATTCAGTAATAACGTTCAACATCTGGGAGTGAACATCTCAGAATAACATCATTAAATTATAGGCTGCAACACTGTATACAGTACATATTACTAACAATAAGGTATATATATAAAAAAAAATCCACGTCATAAATCAGGGAATACCTACATTGGTAAAGTATAATTTTCTGTTAAATGCATTTTTGTCCAAATTTTGAATTTGTCCAAATGTATGAATTTTTTAAATAAATTAATGCTGAAAGATTATATTTGGCAAATAGAAAATTCTTTCTAATGATTATTTGATCTCCTAGAAAAATGCATACAATCACTCAGAAATGTTAATAGTACTTTATGATTAACACTAATACTAAAATTTGTTGCCATGGTTTGATTACCTGGAATGCATCTAGAAATATTCTTTACAATTTAACATTTAAGATCTTCACAAAAGCAAAGTTCATGTTTTTGCCAAAAACTGCTGTTTCTAAGCTCTTCATGAAATCACCATAATACTAATTCAACAAGTTTAGATATTAAGATAAATAGCTATTGACTTCATTCTAATTTTTTCTCTTCCTGATTCAATCATAAAATTTTACCCGTTCTCTAATTTTTAGTGTGAATTCTGCTCATCTTCTGAAATGTATTTATAATGACTAAATCTCTTCAGTATTTGCATTTTTCATCTTTGTTGCCTGTAAACATTTAAAGGGCTGCTAGTTGAACTAGGTGAACTGAGATAACTGATGTGTATGAAATTCCTGGTGCTTGGCCATTTCTTCCTTTATATTGTTTGTATTTTTTATGGCTTATTGTGTCTGATTTAACCTGTGTCCACTTAAGTACTATTTTCTTGTCTGTTTTCATATAACTGTAAAAATTTCTTTTTGTATCACTCTAATACTTCTACTCTCCACTGTTTACCATTATAACTTAATATGTTCTCAACTCTGTTTTGGCTGCTTGTTGTTCAGTACCGTCGAGTTTGTTCCGACTCTGCAACCCTGTATAGGGTTTCCGAGACTGTGAATCTTTGCCAGAACAGAAAGCCTCATCTATTCTCCATGGAGAAGCTGTTGTGCTCAAACTGTCTGTAACAGAATTGTAAAGCATATTTCAAAGAAGAGAAAATAGTATAAGCTATCACCCTCACAAATTCTTTATTTTGAAATACCTTTTCCAAACTGAAATTGCTTTCTTTACACTTAGTCTTTAACATTCGCACACAACCAGATAGTAGTTATCACAAATTGTCAGGCCTAATTTTTCTAAAAAATACTTACGCTTTCAGGCATAGGTAAGGAATATAGGGCTCAATATTAAAACATACACAAGCCATATTTTTCTTTAAAAGATGTCAGCCAACACTCCTTATCCTAAAACTTTTAGCCAAGCTATTTAGCCATTAACATATGTTGACTGCCTTATCATGTTTTATCCATAACCCACTCTTGCAAAGAAAAGTAGTAAATAAAGAAGTGTCATTTTTATTGGCACATGAAATCTTATAGAATATCAGCACTATTTGTGCATATATTTCTTGTATAATATACTCAGTAAATAGGTATAATGATTTAAAAAACAAATTGTACCAGTTAAATAAAGTACATTATTTTTATTCCTTTCAGCTTCGTCCTCCTCAACCTGCAGTTTACTTGTTTGTTTTAGATGTGTCTCATAATGCAGTGGAAGCTGGATACTTGACAGTTTTATGCCAGTCATTATTAGAAAATCTAGACAAGTAAGAATATTTTTTTTTTTTTACTCATAGTGTTTGTTGTATCTGTCTGTATAAATGTGAAGTTGATGGATTGGTTTTAATTAGGTTTGATTTATGTATGAATTAAAAGAATACTTCCTCTCCACCATATAATACTTGGACTATTTTATGACTTATAACTGGTCATGTGAATCGTGGAATTTTAATATTTAGTAAGGAATTTAGTTCTTACCTAACTATTCCTAGGGCTTAGCGGCACTGAACACTGAGCCTAGAAAGCTTGACTTGGCTGGGGTCACTCAAGCATCAGAATCTAGATGAGAAACCTAGATGTAATTTATGCCTGATCAAGGAAATTTTTCATATGCTAATTTTATTGTACTAAATTAGGTTATAGGGAAGAAGGGAATTGGTTTTGTACTGAATATTTCAGACAGCCAGAAGTTGAGCTGCATTGTGGATATGGGGGCAGAATAAAGGATGGGAAGGTAGTTTGGTTATACCTAGCTCTGATTTGTGCCTATGTGTCTACCAATTTCAATCATGAATGAGTGCTTTAACTAGCTTTAAAAATGAAACTTTCGAATCTCTGGAAAACTGTGTTGTTTATACATTTTCTTTTTGTTTTCTCCCAACAATCACATGAGATAGGAGTTAAAATTGTTCTCTGGTGGTTCTGGAGGCTTCTCCCTCATCTCTCATGAGTTTGAGAGTCCTTGTTCTTTTGAATGCTCATTCTAACCCCCCTAGTCTATGGGTCACTGATTGACCTGTTAATGAATTTGATAGTATTTCATTCAAGATAAAAATATCCAGAGATAATGAATGATTTGCTTTTAGTTTCTGTTAGTAGTTTAATAGTTCTTTTACCCCACCCCCAAGGTCAGAGTATTTACCCTTATTTTAATCAGAGCTACATACTTCAGAAATTGCTTTTATATTGAGTGACAGTGGGAAAACCACTCTGCAATGAAATAGTTTTAAGTAAATGTGATAGGATAGCAATATGATAGGAACATATTTTGGGAAAGGGCTCTGGAAATAGCTTAGAGAAAAAGGAGTTTAGTGCTGGAGCAGTTCCAGTGCATCTCTGTATTTTGAGTTTAGAGCAGGCCAGGTGTCTTCTCGTTAATGGGTACTAAACAGCACTTATTGATCTTAGAAATTACAAAGAAATGTGGGTTAATTTCTAGAAACATTACAACCAGAATTGGTAAGCTGAAAAACTACGCGATTAGTTTAATTCTGTTCTCTTAAATGCTTTCTGAGCAGCCTGATCTATTAAACATAATAGTAATAATATCTATCGCTTTGCTACGTGTTCTATTTTGGCATATCAATGTGTAAAAACATTTGAAAGGCATTGCTGAAAAATAAAATCGCATAAGTTAACATAGTTGGTGATACTAAAAAATACACTTATATGAAGATCCGTTTCCTATTAATAAGAAAAATATAGCAGACATTGAAGTGACTTTTCAAAGAATGTTGATAGATAAAATGTTTTTATATTCTTACATGTGGTTGTTATTTAAAATTTTATACATTGTAATCTGATACACATTATGTTCATTCTTTTCTCGTGAAGTAATCATGTGTCATTGTGCCCTTTAGATACTTGAACAAGATATACTGTGGAATGTGGCAACTAAAACTATGACTAATTTTTCACTTTAAAAAGTATGTTTCTCAGGAAAGATAGCAATAATTCTCTAATTGGTTCTTTACTACTTTCACTTTTAGTTTTATTTCTTACTTGAATACTTTCATAGTTTACTTTTCTGAAATTATGAATGAATTTTCCTCATATTAGTGATTTCATCTGAAAATGGAATATTTGATTCTTGTTAGGCATTGGGTTTTGGTGTGAATAAGCACTTGACTGCTAACTGCAAGGTCAGCATTTCAAATCCACCAATTGCTCCTCAGAAACCCTGTACAGATTCTGTATGAGTCAGAACCAACTTAATATACATAACAACAGGTGTTGAATTGCTAACCACTAGGTTGGCAGTTCAAACCTACCAGTTGCTCCATGGAAAAAAGATGAGGTTGTCAGCTGCCATAAGGTTTTTAAATCTCTGAAATCCTATATGCGATCACTTTGATTTCAAATCGAGTCAGTTTAGCATTGGCTCGATGGCAATGAGTTTTTTATTTGATCTTCTTTGGTATACACTGGTTTAAACTGAACCCACTGCCTCCAGGTCAATTCCAACCCACAGCAATCCTGTCAGACTGCTTCATTAGGATTTCTTTGTCTGTAAATTGTGTTTACAGAAGATTGCCAAACCTTTCTTTTGTAGAGCAGCTGGGAGGTTTGAACTGCTGACCTTTTGGTTAGCAGTTGAGTGCTTCACCACTATGCCACCAGGCTCCTATAAACTGGTTTTGTTGGTGGTTGTGGTAAGTGCTATCGAGTCACTTCCAACTCCTAGTGACCCTGTATAGGGTTTCCAAGGAGCCACTGGTAGGTTTGAACTGCTGACCTTGTAGTTAGCAGTCTAGTGTTTACAGGGAAAAGTTTTCTGCCCTCTATAAAAAAGCATATTAGTTTAGTAGCTGTTCAACCATTTTAAAAGGTAGCATATGATTAAGAACCTATGTACTGAAGGAAGACGTCCGAGATGCACTACCAGCATTGGTGAAAAGCAAGACTCCGAGAGTTGTTGGAATACAAATTGAAGTGTTTCAACAAACTGACTGAGTGCTGGAGTGGCACTCATTCATCTATGTCTAGAAACTTGGAAGACAGCAATGTGGCCAACTGCCCATCCCAAAGAAAGCTGACCCGACTAAATGCTGACATCATCAAACAATATCATTAATATCACTTGCAAATAGAATTTGCTGAAGAGAATTAAAAAATGATTGCAGCAGTATATCAACAGTGAACTGCCAGAAATTCAAGCTGGATTAAGATGTGGATGTGGAACTAGAAATATCATTTCTGACATCAGGTGGATCTTGGCTGAATGCAGATAATACCTGAAAGATGTTTATTTGTGCTTTATTGACTGTGCAAAGGCATTCAACTGTGGGGATCGTAACAAACTATGGCTAACATTGCAAGGAATTCCAGAACATTTGATTGTGCTCATGAGGAACCTGTACATAGACCATGCGGAAGCAATTTGAACAGAACAGGGGGATACTGAATGAGTTAAAATCAGGAAACATGTGTGCCATATTTATTCAGTCTGTACACTGAGCAGATAATCCAAGAAAATAGATTATATGAAGAAGAGCGTGGCATCAGTATTGGAGGAAGACTCATTAACACCCTGAATATGCAGATGATATAACCTTGTTTGCTCAAATCAAAGAGGACTTGAAATACTTACTGATAATTATCAAAGACTACAGCTTTCAGTATGGACTGCATCTCAATGTAAAGAAAACGAAAATGCTCACAACAGGACCAATAAATAACATCATTATAAGTGGAGGAAAGTTTGAAGTTGTCAAAGATTTCATTTTGCTTAAATTCACTATCAGTGATCATAGAAGCAGCAGTCAAGAAATCAAACGATGTATTACGTTTGTTGTATCTGATGAAAAATACCTCTTTAAAAGTGTCAAGGAGCAAATATATCACTTTGAGGCCTAAGGTGAAGCTGATCCAATCATGGTATTTTTAATCACTTCATATGCATGTGAAAGTTCCACAGTGTAAAAGACAGACTGGAGAAGATTCTATGCATTTGAACTATAGTGTTAACAAAGAATAATGAATATACCATGGACTGTCAGAGAACGAACTAATGTTTGAAGGTAGTAGAGCCAGGTTGCTCCTTGGAAGTAGAAAGACTTGACTTCATCTCACTGGCCAGAAGTACCAAACCCTAGAGAAAGACATGCTTGGTAAAGTAGAAGATCCACAAGAAAGAGGAAGATGACCACATACACACACAATGAAATAGCTTAACAAGTGGCAGGAGCAATGGGCCTCAAACATCACAATTGTGAGAATGGCTCAGGACCGGGCAGTGTTTCCTTCTGTTGTGGACAGGGTCAATGTGAGTTAGGCGCCACTGACTCAGTAGCACCTAAAAACAATAGCAACATATTATTAATTATCCTTAAATTTAGTTTAAGGAGCCCTGGTGGTACAATAGGTAAATATTTAGTTGCTGACCAAAAAGTCAGCAGTTTGAAGCTATCAGCAGCTTTGAGGGAGAAAATACCCAATGGTCTGCTCCTGTAAAGGTTACAGACTAGGACACACTATGAGACAATTCTACTCTACCATATATTGTCATTCCGATTTAGAATCAACTTGGCAGCACACAGCAGTAATAACAACAAACTTCATTAACTTTGTCTTTATTTTTTTATAATAAAGTATCTTGTTGAGTGCCTGAAATTTAAAATTATTATTTTATCTTTAGGCTTCCTGGAGATTCAAGAACAAGAATAGGATTCATGACTTTTGATAGCACTATTCATTTCTACAACTTACAAGAAGGATTATCACAGCCTCAGATGTTGATTGTATCTGATATAGATGGTGAGAAATTAACAAAATGAGTCATAACTACTGATTGTGAAGTTGGGGCTACCTTATCTTATAATATACTTTGTCATACGTTGTAAGGATTATTTGGTGCATTCTAGTATTTAAAAACAATTCCATTTTTGTAAAAGATTGTATTCTAAATATTTTACATCTTTGTGTGTATCTTCACATACATGTACCACATATACATATTTCTCTGTAACATAGAGTATATACAAGAGACCTTCAAAGAGTTCATGGAAAAATTGAATTAAAAGAATTTTTCCATAAACTTTTGGAAGCCTCTTCATGTATATAATATTGTTGCTCAAACGTAACAATTGTGAGGATGGCACAGGACTGGGCAGTGTTTCATTCTATTATGCATTGGGTTACTATGAGTTGGAACCATTCAGCGGCACCTATCAACAACATGTATTTAAACGTTGTTGTTAAGTGCCGTTGAGTCAGTTCCGATTCACAGCGACCCTGCATAGATAGGGTTTCTGAGGAGTGGCTGGTGAGTTTGAACCGCTGCCTTGCGATTCAAACCAACCTTGCAGTCAAGTGCTCCAATAGCACCACATATGGCAGATTTAATATAGTAATTCTACAGCATACATTTACATGTGTGACCTGATAAAAACTAATATTTTTGTTGATTATATTCTTTTGACTTGATTTATTGATTTAAAAATATATTTTCCTCATAGATATTTTCCTACCTACACCAGATAGCTTGCTTGTGAACCTATATGAAAGTAAAGAGGTGAGATTGATTTTTTCTTATAATATCAAAATACTTTTTATTTCAACTGCCTACTAAAATCTTTCACATTTGTTTACTTCGTATTAATATTGCAATTAATATTGATAACAGTAGAAGCATGTCTATTGACTCCTCAGTTACAGTCACCTAAAATGACCTGTAGTGGCACATACTACACTGTGGAATGTTTTAAACAAAAATATTGCCTTGCCTCTTCAGTAATTGAGCTTCTAATCTTTGTTTTCCCAGCTTATAAAAGACTTACTGAATGCATTACCAAACATGTTCACCAATACAAGAGAAACACACAGTGCCCTTGGTCCTGCGCTTCAGGCTGCCTTTAAATTAATGTCTCCAACAGGTGGCCGTGTGTCTGTATTTCAGACACAGTTACCTTCCATGGGTGCAGGACTTCTGCAGTCCAGAGAGGACCCTAATCAGAGGTCAAGTACAAAGGTATTTTATATTTCATTTTCTCTGTCATATTCAAGATAGTTCTTTCTACCTCTGACTCTGCAATTAATTACTTATTCATTATTCTACTGTTTACTTCATTAAGAATAAAAGCATTCAGATTATCTTTTTTTGCATTGCAGTGTGTTCTTTTTATTTCTTTGTTTACAAGTCATAAATATTTAAAGATATGACTTGATTATCTGAATTCAGTGTGCTCTTGTGATATTGTTGTTGTTAAGTGCTATCGAGTCAGTTCCAACTCAAAACAACCCTGTATAGGGGTACCAAGGAGTGGTTGGTAAATTTGAACCGCTAACCTTATAGTTCAAACAGATCTTGTGGTCCAGTGCTTATCCAAAATCTGATATGATAGAATTTAGCATGCTTAAGATAATACCCTTTTAAGTAGCAATCCAGGATAACTTATTTTTTATCTACAGATTTTGTAACTGAGGCTACTTTATTTTACAGTATACACTTTGTAAGAGTTTATACTATATAGATTTTAAATGTTAATTATAATAAACTTAATAATAAAGGTGAGACAGATTACTGTCTGTAAAGAAAAATGTAGCTCAGCAGTCTCATGTTCAAGATTTAGTTGTAGGTTTGAGCTTATGTATTGTATTTTTTTAACTGACGTTTTTTATTCAAAGTATATTGTGGGCATTTCTGACACTACTAAAAATTCCCTAGATACATAACATTTTTTAATAAGTATGAAAGTACTCTAGTACTCTAGGCACTTATTCATTTTTTCCTTAGGATAAATTCCTAAAGGTGAAATTATTATTTCAAATAGTACAAACTTTGTTCTTTATTACCGTATTTTACTTATTGAATTGCTTTGTTTTGTTTTAGCAGCTTGCACTGCTGGACTCTCATCCTCTAGCCACCATTGAATAATGTTGAATTTTTATTCTTCACCAGTGTGCTAGAGATAAATGATACCATATTTTAATTTTTGTAGAAGTTATAATTTTTAAATTCCTTTTGAGAAAAAAAACTTAATTTCAAAATAAATTAGGTCAAATATATTTTTGCAGTTCATCAACAAATATAGTTAGCATTCAGTTCATTGATCTGATAGTCCATTATAGGATACTGGTGGTGGTTATGTGCCATTGAGCCAGTTCTGACTCAAAGAGACCCTGTATAGGGTTTCCAAGGAGATGCAAATCTTTACAGAAGCAGAAAAGCTCATCTTCCTCCCACAGAGCTGCTATTAGATTCAAACTGCTGACCTTGTAACCCACTACTCTACCTGGACTCTCCTATATTATAAAATACTAGGTGTTTTGATTTTCTTTTCAGTGGACTTTCAAAAATATTATCCCCTTGTTTGGGACTCAGAAGCTTAAGTATCTATTAAGATTTCAATATTTCTTATCATCTGAATAAACTCTAATGTAATGATAATATTATAATTAAAAGAATTGAAAACAATTTGTTATGCATTGCTGTTGTTATTAAGTGCTGTTGAGTTGGTTCCAACTCAAACAGCGACCCTGTATAAGGTTTCCATGGAGCTACTGGTGAGTTTGAACCACCAACCCTGAGGTTCAAACTGACCTTGCAGTCCAAACCATTTCCCTGTAGCTCCACACCAGGACTCCATTGCTATGCATTATAACCTGGTTATTAAGATATCTCAAGCGAGTAAAGTTTTGCTAAAGGTAATACAGAAACGGCTACAATCATACATTGACAGAGAACTTCCAGAGGTTCAAGCTGGATTCAGAAGAGGCCGTGGAATGAGAGATATCATTGCTGATGTCCGATGGATCTTGGCTGAAAGCAGAGAATATCAAAAAGATGTTTACCTATGCTTTATTGACTACGCAAAGGCTTTCAATTGTGTGGATCATGACAAGCTATGGACAACATTGCGAAGTATGAGTATTCAGAACACTTAATTGTAATTCTGAGGAATCTTTACCTGGACCAAGAAGCAGTTGTTCGAACAGAGCGTGGGAACACTGAATGTTTTAAAATTGGGAAAGGTGTGCGACAAGGTTGTGTTCTTTCACCATACTTATTCAGCCTGTAAGCCGAGCAAATAATACAAGAAGCTGGGTTCTATGAAGAAAAACGTGGCATCAGGATTGGAGGAAGACTCATTAACAGCCTGTGATATGCAGATGATACAACCTTGCTTGCTGAAAGTGAAGAGAACTTAAAACATTTACTGATGAAGATCAAAGAGCACAGCCTTCCGTATGGATTACATCTCAATGTAAAGAAAACAAAAATCCTCACCACTGGACCAATAAACAACAATCTTATCAACAGAGAAAAGATTGAAGTTGTCAAGGACTTCATTCTTCTTGGATTAACTATCAACACTCACGGAAGCAGCAGTCAAGAGATCAAATGACATATTGCATTAGGCAAATCTGCTGCACAGGAACTTAATTTAAAGTGTTGAAGAGCAAAGATGTCATCTTGAGGACTAAGATACGCCTGACCCAAGCCATGGTATTTTCAATAACCTCATATGGATGCAAAAGCTGGACAGTGAGTGAATAAGGAAGATCGTACAAGAATTGATGCCTTTGAATTGTGGTGTTGGAGGAGAATACTAAAAGTGCCATGGGCTGCCAAAAGAACCAATAGATCCATTTGGAAGAAGTACAGCCATAGTACTCCTTGGAGGCCAAGATGGCTAAACTTCGTCTCTTATACTTTGGACATATTGTCAGGAGGGAACAGTCACTGGAGAAGGATATCATGCTTGGTAAGATGGAGGGTTGGAGAAAAAGATGAAATCCCCAATCAAGATGGATTGGCCAGGGGCAGCATTGATGGACTCAAGTGTGGCAGCGGTAGTGAGGTTGGTCCAGGATTGGACATTGTTTCGTTCTGCTGTGCATGGGGTTGCTATGAGTTGGTTCCAACTCGATGGCACCTGACAACAACAACAAAATTTAAGAACTTGTAACCTATCTTGTATTTTTAACTCTTTTGGTCTCTAGTGTTGCTGCTTTGGCTCAAGTTTCTTCCTCCTAATTGAAATATTTTTCTTTTGTTACTCACTCATGTTATGTAATACTATGTAATTTCTTGGGTTTATATTCGAAGGTCTACCACACAGTAGCTGTGTAATCTTAGTCAAGTTACTTAATTGTGTATGTTTCTTTATCTGCAAAATGTAGATAATAAACATTTGGAGATAGATGCCATTGTAAGGATAAAATAGTTAATTTGTATAAAACTTCTCAAACAGTTCTGGTATACAGCAAATGTTTTATAAATGTTGTTAAATTCCACCAAGTCAGTTCCAACTCATAGTTAACCTGTGTAGGGTTTCTGAGAAGCGGCTGATACGTTTGAACCCTCTACCTTGTGGTCCAAACCAGCCTTCAGTCCAATGCTTATCCTGTAGCATCATGCTAGTTATTAGTATTATTGGAAATTTCTGCTAGCTTCCTAGACATTGAAAACACTCCTCCTTAGTTTACTAAGCAGTAGAGGTTATTTTTTCCTTATTATGAAAGAAACATAGAAATATATGCATAATTCAAGGTTTCTAGCTCTTATTTTGTGATCTGTTGATAGGTTATACAACACCTTGGCCCTGCAACTGATTTTTATAAGAAACTCGCTTTAGATTGCTCAGGGCAACAGACTGCGGTGGATCTTTTCCTTTTAAGTTCACAATATTCTGATCTGGCTTCTCTAGGTAAGGCGATATGATTGTTTTTTATGTGTCTACATAAACATTTTTAACTCTTGATTAAATCTAAACTCTCCAGTTCTTAAAAGTTTTGGATAACCTGGCATTTGAATTATAAACATAATATCTGTGAGGTTTAGTAAACTGTAAAGCACTGTGTTGTTATCTTGCCACTAAGTCAGTTCTGATTCACCGGGACCTAGTGTATTACAGAGTAGAGTGCTCTACTACTCTCTTGGCTATAATCTTAATGGAAGGCGATTTCCAGGCCTTTTCTTCAGTGGTACCACTGGGTGGGTTCAAACTTTAGGTTAGCATTTTTATTTTTTTAAGGTTTCTATTGTGGGTTGATTGAAAGTTTAAAGGGCAGATCATCAGTTTTACATTTAACAAATCATGTGCCTAGTTTCATTACATTGATTATAATCACCTCCTTGTACCATCAGTTAACAGTGTTTCTCACTATTTATTCACTTAACTTGGGTTTTTTTTAAAACCATAAAAACTACTCAGGCATATATAATAATTTACACCTCCAAAGGACGCATTGTGCAAGTCTGCCTCCTGGGCACCAGCTCTTAGTTCCTCTTTTCCCATACATTTAGAGCCCTCAACTGCTTCCCCTCTCCATGTCCCCATCTCTGCCTCTGTCTCAGGCATCACTGCATCTCTGGATAAGGTCCGCATTCTGATTGTGATCTTCTCCCTTGATGGTCCGAGGGTCCTCTGTTTTTGGACTGTAAGATTAACCACTCCGTTTTTGTTAGAAAACTTCTACCTTTACAGTTGTGACAGACGCAATTAGTCATAATAACAGTTATTCGCTATTGAATCGTATGAATCTTAACTTATCCCCATCTCTTTTCACCAGACCCATCTAGACAAAATGAAAATTATTCAGTGGGGACTCTTTGTTTCCCTCCACACTTTTAAAATTAAATCCTTCTTGAAACCTTGTTAGCCAGTCACTTCATGCCTTTATCGCCCCCTCATTTTAGGTAGCCAATGTCTAAGTTGCCCATCCCTATCTACCCTGTGTACAGAGGGGATAGCATTGATACTTGATGTGAAGACTCTTTCCCCTCTCTGTTGGTATTTTGAGTTACTACCTCCTTGAGTATAGGTCAGGTTCATCAAATTGTAGCAATTTACCCTTGTTTACTTTATTAAAAAAATTTGTTGTTGTTTTTATTTGTAATCTTCCTCTAGTTGAGTTCTGATTATCAAGGCATCAAGGCTGGGTCAAATGGGTACTGTCTGCAGGTTTGGGTGTTCTTGTGCATCTTCCCTCACTTCATATCAGCTGGATGCTTCACTCTCAGCTCTAGCCCTCTGTGGCTATGTCCTTGTCCATGGGCTCAAGTGTCCCCAGGTCTCACCAGTCTTTGAACCAACCAGCCCTTACTCTTCCTCCCTCTCTCATCTCCAGGTCAATGGGGGTCAGTGAACTGTGGTTGAACTCAGCTCTTTCTTTATTGCTGCCTGTTCGTGTGTTTCCTTTGAGTTTCATGTTAGAGGGGAGTTTGTCCTAAAGGAACTTGATTCCTTGCCTTGATGGCTTCCTAGCAAACAGCTTGCTTATTCTTGTAGTAGGCAGTCATGCTGACATTTTTGTTGGTGTTTTTCCTGATGATCTTTCTTTGAAGATGTGTCTTCTGTTGCTCTAGCTGTTCTAGGCTGGTCTGCTTTTCCTTGCTAGTGGGAATGTCCCACCTCATAAGGTTTTGGATAGAACTCAGGATTCCACCTAAGGTCCGATACTCTGCAAAGGCTTTGAAGAGGCCTATTCCACTGGGCAAGTTGTAGAACCCCTTTTAGGTATTCCAATCAGTTATAGGCTGAAGACGGGCTTCTACGTTTTCTGTTATCATGTTTCCCAACATTCCCTTCTATCCCACTCAAGTGCCTATTTTACAAGAGTATGCAAGGGAAACCAATATTCATAAGACAGTCAACCATTTTAGTATTATTTCCCCCCTTCAAACTATGCCTAGTTCCCTGTATCACAGAGCCCTATTTTTCCAGGGTCGAGATGCATCACTATTTACCTCTGTCCCACTTAAGACATGCAAACCTGTCTCAGTGTTCCCCTTTCTATCTTGTTCTTCTACTTCCTCCCCCTTCTTGTATTGCCCTCCCCAACACCCAAACTAAACCCCCCACCTCAACCCCAGTGTTGGGGTTACCTTATATTCCATTAACTCTTCCCTCCATTTAAGAGTCTATTTTATCCTGTAATCTACCTGACCTTTCTACCGACCGTGGATCTCTGTTCCTCTGTGTTGACCTTCTTTCACATTGTAATTGTTTTGATCATAGACTGTCCTCCCAGATTCTCTGTTCTTATAATGTTATTCTGTTCTTGACTCTTCCATTTGTCGATTGAGTTCAGGGTGATGCTGCCACATACATCATTCTCTGCTTGTTGTCCATTCTTGTTGGTTCTCAGTCCACAGAACTTCCTTAAGGATGTTTTTCATAGCAGGGTTGGCTTTGGCAAAATCTCTTAGCTTCTGCTTATCCTGGAATGTTTTGATTATGCCTTCGTATTTGATTGACAGCTTTGCTGGGTAGAGAAGTCTTGGTTGGAAGTTTTTTCTTTCAGGGGTTTATATGTGTCTCTTCATTGCCTTCATGCCTGCATTGTTTCTGTTGAGAGATCAGAGCTTAATCTGATTTGCTTGCCTTTGTATGTTACACTTCTCTTTTTCCTGGCTGCTTTCAGCATTCTGTCCTTAGCTTTGATTTTGAGAGCTTGATTATGATATGTCTTGGTGATTGTTTTTTAATGTCTGTCCTTCCTGGGGTTCATTGAGCTTCTTGAATGCTTATCTTTTCGCCTTTCAAGATGTTAGGAAAATTTTCTTCCAGAAGCTCTTAAACTATCTCCTCTGTGGATTTGTGTGATTCTTCCTGTTCCGGAATGCTGATAATTCTTAAGTTATTCCTCTTCATGTTGTCCAACATGAATCTTAGGCCTTCTTCACATTTTTTAAATCTTTTTTTTTGGCTTGCACTTCTAACTTAGTGTTGAGAGATTTATCTTCTAGCTCACTAGTTCTGGCTTCTATCTCTTCAGTTCTACTCCTTTGCCCTTTCAGTGTATTGTCCATTTCTGATATTCTATTATTAATCGTTTGGACCTCTTTCTGTAGGTTTTGAATTGTTTCAAATTATCTATCTTATTTGATTGTTCCTGTAGCGCTTTCCTGACTTCTTCCTTATTTTTCTCAACTCCATTGTATAGTGTTTAGATATATTTTATAATCATTTTTTTTAATTCCTTCTCAGGCATTTCCAAAGCCTGCCTATCTTACAGTATGGAGTGTAGGTCTACTTCCAAATCCTTTGCCTCAGTCACTTTATCTCGTTTCTGAACTTGTGCTAATATGGTCATCTGTCTCTGGTTTTGGGGCATATTCAGGAGTTATCTGTGGCCTTAATACTTAGATGAGTGTGTGTTTTTGTATTTTTTATGCTTTCTGATTGCCTCCAAGTCGAAATGATCAGGAGATAGCCTTCCCTTTTCTCTCTTTTTCCTAAGAAATTTCAACGTGCCACTGATAGTCATTGTGACTAACTCAGGATTTGATTTTCGGCCTATTTCCTTTTCAGTCTGCCTGTTCTGCTCCACAATCCCAATGCAGGCCTTTTTCCTAATGATAAACAGTTCATGGCCGGCTGTGGCCGTTTTGCACTGCCTTTTGGTTTTAAGTGGAAACTCTCACTTTAAATTTCGAGGAGATCTGGGCACATGCATAGTAAAACCCTCCAGGGGTGAGGGTGGGGTGTCCACTCACTCAGCCACCCCCTCTAGTCACCTGTATGGAAGTGCGCAGTGAGAGAACAATGAACAGATTAAAAAAAAAAAAAAAAAAGATGTCCACACCTTTGTCTCCATGGTTCTGTCAGGTGTCCGTGGCTGTTCTGATCCTTCCCCTGCTTGGTCTCCCCCAAGGTGGTGGCTCCGGGAGCAGCTGAGCATCTTGAATTAGAAAACACTTGATTTCTTGCATCTGCTGCAAATTCCCCTAGCTGTAAGCCTTCCAATCTTCTAAATATTCCTTTATATGTAGTTCAGAGTCCTGGCACCATCCCCTGACCCTGCTTGGTCGCGTATTCTGTGTTGTTGCTGACGGAGCTCCTCACTGCACTTCCACCCGATCTGCTATCCTGTTTGTTCTCTCTAGATTAGCATTTGAGACCACATATAATACTATTCCCTTACAACACTGCTCAACAATAAACTTGATTGTATAAATTGGGCAATTTAGGTTTTTTCATTATGATGTATATTTCTTCAAAATATAGCATCTGAACTAATATATGGACAAGTATGATACTGTTTCTGTACTAATTATGCTTTTGTTCCCATTTCTCTCTCAAGCTTGTATGTCCAAGTATTCTGCAGGGGGCATCTATTATTATCCATCTTTCCACTATACTCACAATCCTTCACAAGCAGAGAAGTTACAAAAAGACCTAAAACGTTATCTCACAAGAAAAATTGGATTTGAAGCTGTTATGAGAATAAGATGTACTAAAGGTATGAAATTGTAAGAATTATGCTTTATGCTTCGTATCTATTTTTAAATTACCTCTTATGATGATGGCTTCTTATCTTACAGGATATACTGTTTGACCCAGGTAGTCTTCTACTATTTTAAGTATATATAAGAAGGCTTCAAAAAGTTCATGGAAAAGTGAAATTAAATGTTAATGGAATTTTTTCCTGAACTTATAAAACCTCCCTGTACTTAATGATTTCATGTAACTTAAAGAAATGGTCAAAAATAATTATTTGCTTTATTCAGGAGAAATCTGAAAAAAAAAAAAAAAAGCCCGTATTAGAGTTGGGAGCATTTAGGAAATAGAAAGATATTTAAAGAAAATTGTCAAATGAAGAATCCTTGCTTGAATAATCATTTAAATAGTCCTCAACTTACTTTTCCGTGGTTTTTGTGAATTTTTGCTTGAGGGATTCTGATCCCTTATTGTAAGGGTTAGTTATACACTAACCCTCATTTGTTTATTTTTCTGTTTGTTAGTTGTCTACCTTCAAATTGTGCCTGAAAAAAATATTAAGATTGTTGTTGTTGTGAAGTGCTGTCAAGTCGGTTTCGACTCATAGCGACTTTGTGTAGGGCTTCAGAGGAACGGCTGGTGAGTTTGAACCACTGACCATATGTTTCAAACCGACCTTGTGGTCCAGTGTTTATCTAACAATGCCATACCAGTATTCAGTTATCCTTTTGATTCGAATTCAGAGGTATCTTTAACTTTAAAAAGTAACCTTAGTAGTGTTATTTCATCTTTTATATCTAATGTTCTGTTTTCTTAGGTCTTTCAATGCACACTTTTCATGGAAACTTTTTTGTTCGTTCCACTGATTTGTTATCCCTGGCCAACATAAATCCTGATGCTGGATTTGCAGTGCAGCTGTCTATTGAAGAAAATTTGACAGATACGTCTTTAGTGTGCTTTCAGACAGCCCTGTTGTACACATCAAGCAAAGGTAATTTTTATGGAAATTAAATACAGTCTACAACAGTAATTCACCCCACCTTTCACATGCTCCTTAGTTGATTGATAGAAAGGATGATCATGCAGTGAGAATTAATAGAGTTTCTATTAGTTTCTCAAATATATATATTTGTGCGGCTTTTTAAATTCTTATTTTTGAATCTTAAATAACATATCTTTAGACTTATGCAGGGTTTGTGTTCCCAGGAGGATATATTTCTGATAAAAAATCTCATGCAGAATCCAGCTGTGCCATTCTTAGCATTATTTCTTATCTCAAACCCACTGAAAACCCACAGCCATCAAGTCGATTTTGGCTCATAGTGACCCTATAGGACAGAGTAGAATTGCTCCTTAGGGTTTCCGAGACTATGGAGCAGATAGCCTCATCTTTCTTCCACAGAATGACAGGTGGGTTACAGCCTTGTAGTGAGTTGCCTAATATGTAATACGTTATGACACCAGGCCTCCTTTTTTGCCCTATTTAGCTATTGTATGTAACTTACAATGGGTAGCATTTAAAATAAAAGCTAGAACGCAATATCCAGTTAGCTGTAAAATATGTTGTTAAGTGCTGTTGAGTTAATTCTGACTCATAGCAACTTTGTATAGGGTTTCCGAGGAGCAGCAGGTAGGTTTGAACTGTAGACCTTGTGGTTCACAGTCCCACGCTGATCGTATAGCACCACACCAGAGTTCAGATATAAAATATATGTAATATATGTTGTATATTCTTAGTTTGTCTTCAAACTTTAGACTATGTACCAGTTGTTGTGGACTCTTTCCTGACTCATGACTCATGGTGACTCCATGTGTGTCAGAGTAAAAGGATTTTAGTCACTGATATTTTGGAAGTTGGCCTCCAGACCATTATTCCAAAGTGACTGCAGGTGGGCTTTTCGATTACCAAACACATTAGCAGTTTGCACCACCCAAAACTAAAGAGAGTGCTTTATTTTCTTTAAAAACTATTTATTGTAAAGCTTTGTTTTTTGTATTTCAAACTTCTGATTATTGTCAAAACAATAATTTGTATAAAATTTTGAACTTTCACGTTATCTCTTTCTTGGTCTAATTCTTTTGCAATGACATGTATTCATCATTTTGTTTAGGTGAGCGGAGGATTCGAGTCCATACACTTTGTTTACCGGTAGTAAGTTCACTAGCAGATGTATATGCTGGAGTGGATGTACAAGCTGCCATCTGCCTGCTAGCAAATATGGGTGAGTAAAACAGTGAGGGAACAGATTAAATGTGGGTTTCTGTCTTAAAAACGGATTTTTTTCTAAGCCCTAGAAATCTAAATTTAAAAGTGTTTGTTTTACATGTTGTTCTTGTTGTTGTTAAGTGCTGTCAAGTTGGTTCCAGCTTATAGTGACCCTCTACATATGCGTAGGATTTCCAAAAAGCAGCTGGTGAGCTTGAACCGCCAGCCTTGCAATTCAGACTGACCTTGCAGTCCAGCTCATTAACCCACAGCACCATACCTGTCTAAATTAGTCTATTCTTCTATTTCTTACTCATTCTTTAGTTTAAAATTTTTTGGGAGATTTATAATATAAAAGGGGTACATTAGCTCTAGAGGAATAAGCACTGGAATGCAAACCACAATGTCAGTGGTTTGAGCCCACCAGCCTCTCCACAGGAGAAAGATGAGACTTTCTGCTCCTGCAAAGATTTACAGACTTGGAAACACTATACAGGGTTACTGTGAGTTTGAACCGATTCCACTGCTCAATAACAAGAACAACATAATTACTAAATACTAGTAACAAAATCATATGTCCTTCAACTGATGAATGTATGAACAAACTAAAGTGCATCCATACAATGGAATGCAACTGGGCAGTGAGAAAGAAAGAACTGTTAATACATGAACAAACATGGTTGACATATTAAGCATTGCATTGAATGAACAAAGCTAGAGAGCTACAAGACTGTGTTCTAGAAAAGAGAAATTGTAGGGATGAAGAGCAGTTAAATGATTGCAAGAACTTGGTAGGGGAATGGTTGCCACAAAGGGGCAGCACAGAAAGGTTTTTTAGTGGGTGATGTAATTGTTTCATGTCTTGTGGTAGTGATTACATGTCTAGATTTCACAAATAACAATCATAGAAGCCAAACACCACAAAAGTGAGTTTTATTTTATCCAAATGAGGGGAGGAGGAGGGGGATTCCTTTGGAGAATTTGTATATCATTGAGATTTGTTTTCTTTTCTTTTAGCGAATTTGCCTTTAACATGAATATCGACATAAATGAGCTTTGCTATTTCCCATGTTGTTATTGTTGTTGTTAAGTGCTGCCAAGTGTGTACCGACTCATAGCAACACTGTAGAGGATTTCCAAGGAGCAGCTAGTGAGCTTGAACTGCCGACCTTGCAGTTCAAAGTGACCTTGCAGTCCAATGCATTAACCCACAGTCAGTGCCACTCGTTTCAGGGAGAATTAAATAACGTCTACCAATTTTAAGAATCATTTTACATTTAGATTTCAAATTAACCTATACCACAAGTGATTGTTTTTCAGTGTAATTTTATTTTTAATACAGTACATATGCATATGTACTGGTCATCTCTATGTTTTAGTAAAATATGTACTTGGAATGAAATAAGTTTTACTCAGTTATCTGGCTCTCCAATGTCTGAGAAAGCTTATGTTCAGTTTGCTCTGATTTTCATTTGTTTTCCTGGGAACACTTTGCAAAGAAGGTTTTATAGAATGACAAGGGATATCTCAGTTTGAAGAATTTACATTGGTTGTACAGAAACAAATAGTAGTTTATACTTGTGACTTGCATTTGAGTAATGGAGGCAAACCCCAGGGCTTTTCAGAAGTAGATGGATAATTAGTATTCTCCAGTGCTCATAGGGGCTCAGTGTTTTAGACCAGAGATTATTTTTAAAAAGTCTAAAAGAATATGTACTTGTTCTTGTTCAATTTGTCCAATCAAGTTTAGTAAAGAAATATTGTATAATCAACAGGTATTTGTAAAATGAGGGAACAAGTGAGATGTTACATTTCTAACCAACAAACTGAACTTTGGCTTTTTGAAATAAGGCATGAAAATTGTACCTCTTACAGCATTCATTGGACTCTAAATGGCTAAATTTCTTGTCATTTTGTTTGGTTATAGCTGTGGATCGATCAATTTCGTCAAGTCTTTCTGATGCAAGAGATGCTTTAGTGAATGCTGTGGTGGATTCATTATCTGCATACGGCTCTACTGTCTCAAATTTACAGCATTCTGCATTGATAGTGCCCAGCTCCCTGAAGTTGTTTCCTCTCTATGTTTTGGCCCTTCTCAAACAGGTAGTTCTCTCTATACTGCTGCTTACTGTGTTGCTGCTGTGTGCCATCAACTTGCTTCTGACCCAGAGTGACCCTGTATGGGGTTTCCAAGGCTATAAATCTTTCTTCTGTGGAGCAGCTGATGGATTCGTACTGCTGACCTTGCAGTTAGCCCAATGTATAACCCATTACACTACCAGGACTCCCATTCTCTCTATACAGTTATATGTAATAAAACTTTTCTTGTAATTCTCACGTGCAAGAAGGCTTCAAAAAGTTCGTGGAAACTTTTCATATCTTTTCATTCCATTTTTACACAAACTTTATTGAAACCCCCCTCATATGTACGAGCCCTGTTGGCACTTTAGGTTAAGCATTGGACTGTGTAAGCGAAAAGTCAGCGGTTCAAACCCACCATCCATTCCTCAGAAGAGGGATAAAGCTGTCTGCTCTCATAAGTATTTATAGTCTTGGAAACTCAATGCTGGGTCGCTGTGAATGGAAATTAGCTTGATGGCAGTTAGTTGGGTTAGAGTTTTTGTCATATATAGGTGAAGAAATGAAGTACAGATTTTTATTTATTTATTTTTTTAAGTAGTTAACTAGAGGTTTATGCTGTTTAGTTTTGAGGAAAACATCAGTGGAAAGTAAAAATGTACAAATACATGTTGACTCTTAAGAAACCAAATGTTTGCTTTAATAATATGTGTGAGCAATTTGACTGTTAATGTGATCATAGTATGCTCCTAATATGTGCTTCTTGAAAGAGACTGCAAAGAAAAGATCTCCTGTGTACAAACATCTTTCCATTTGTTAGACCTCATGCTTTATAAATATTTTATAGATAATATCATCTTATAAATCTTTACGATAACCTAGAGTGATTCTTTTCCCTTTTTGTCTTCTGATGATAGTATAGCTCAGAGAAGCTATTTAACTTGATCAATGCCACGTATCTACTTTTTAAATGTCAGAGCTTAGCACTGAGTTTTGTTCTGCCTGACTTTGAAGGCCATGCTCTTTCCACAACTGATGATAAATATTTGTTTTAATGTCTGTCCATTGTACTTACATTTTACTTGAAAAGCTTTATATTTTTCCTTATAGAAAGCATTTAGAACTGGTACAAGCACACGCCTGGATGATCGTGTGTATGCCATGTGCCAGATAAAGTCACAGCCACTTGTTCATCTAATGAAAATGATTCATCCCAACTTATACAGGATAGACAGATTGACAGATGAGGTATGACTTCTTTTCCAGAGTTGAAATTGTAAATTTTGAATGCACTTAAGTGTCTTGATTCCAGACCTAAGGTGATAAAGTATTGTCAATAGTTTTCTCCTTTATGGTAATAACACATTAAACAAGGACAGTAGCTATGTGTCAGGGAGCCTGAGTGACACAGCAGGCTAAGCATTGGGCTCCTAATCAAAAGGTTGGTAGTTCAAATCTACCAGCCATTCCAGAGGTGAAAGATGAAACCATGTACTCCTGTAAAGATGTACAGCTTCAGAAACCCTATGGAGCAGTCCTCCTGTGTCCTATAGGATCGCTATGAGTCAGAATCAGTTTGACAGCAGTGTTTGGGAGCTATGATCTGATTGGATGGTGGTTGTTGTCATTAAGCGCTGTTGAGCTGGTTCCAACCCATAGAGACCCTATATAGTGTTTCTGAGGAGCAGCTGGTGAGCTTGAACTACCAACCTTGCAGTTCAAATGGACTTTGCAGTCCAGCGCAGATTGGATAGTGGGACTACAGAATTTAAAAAATTAGTTTTATACTAGAAGTAATTCACTTTCTAGGTTTGTTTATATTTGTTATAAAATTAAGTTATGTACAGTTAACATTTCCAGATGTATTTTATAAATATTGAGTCTTTCTGATACAATCAGATTGAAATTTTGATCGAACTGCAAACCAAATTTGGTTTCCATCTGTAGTTCTAGTATACAAATATGTAGTGTCTTTTTTTGTTTATTTGATCTTTGCATTAAAACTATGTTCTTTCAAATCTTTTCTGTATTACCTTACTAGAAAAGTATAAAAACTTAACTTGCTATGTAGTAGATTCAACCATCTTTTATTATATCCTGGCCCTAAAAGGTCAATGTGACCGATTGTTTTGTTTTGATTTTAACTCTGCATTGTGAATTGAGTGAAGGCTTGCAGAGTAGATCATCAGTTTTACAGTCACCAAGTCACGTGTTTCATTTCATCTCAGTGAGTGCAATCCCCTCATTGTAACATCATTTATCCCACTTCTTCCTTGTTTCTTGTTTTCATTCTTTGTTCTTTCTCACCCCTTCTGAACTTTGTCTTTGGGTAAATGCTGCCCTTCTGATCTTGAATGGTTGACCTCTTTACAGTGTGTGTGCTTCACTAGTATTATTGTCCCCCTTATATGCCTATAGCTTGGCCAAAGTTGTGCCATGAGTTCCGTGTTTTCTCCCACTCTATCCAGTACCTTCTAATGTAATCCCTTTCAGAGCAGTTGATAGTGGTAACCACATGTGACAGATGGTTTTACATATTTCTGTTTTTACCTTTATAATTTGAATATATTTGACTGTCTTTATTGTATGGCCATGATGGGAATATATTATCAGTAATTATTTGCATCCTGCAACGTTCTCAAATGTTAGATTTCATAGAGATCCAGTGACTACAAGCTTGTAAACTGTGGTGACAATGAAATTAGCTCATTCCTGTTCTTTTTCTTTACAGGGTGCAATACATGTTAATGACAGGGTCGTACCTCAGCCACCTCTTCAAAAATTGTCTGCAGAGAAGCTGACCAGAGAAGGTGCTTTCCTTATGGACTGTGGCTCTGTAAGCACTCTCTTTTGACAAAGTCTAATACTGTCACTTATAGGGTCCAGCTGTATTATCAGAGAGCAGGCAGTGAAAGGTGTGGTTTAGAGAAGGGAGTATATTAGTAACTGGCATAAAAGGTCAATTTATTTTAGACTTTCATAGTTGGATATAATTTTGTTTTCATACATTAATTTTATTATCATAAAGAGAAATAAAGGTCCTGTGTTCAAGGACTGGTAATTTAGAACTATAAAATTCAAAGTGATCACAGAGTTTATCTAGTTGAAGTAAGCATCCATTGTGAGAAATCCCATTATTAGGCATGCAGGAGAAGTCACTTGGCAGGGTGGTGGTGAAGAGTGTCACAATTTTAGGATAGCTTCATAAGTGAGACCATTATAAACAGGAAAAGGATTTAATAGACAAAGAAGAGAAAGAAATCCATGAATTAGATACAGTCATTGAAATATGTATGGGCTACAGAGTGAATCAGTTATCCACATCAAAGCACTTCATTCCTATTGAAAAAAAGTGAGGAAGAAAATTTTAAAACTTTTATCAGAAACTTTGGAATTTCAGTGAAGAAGGTATTAGTCACTCTTGATTCCTGGATTTAGATTGACCATGCACTAATTAAAGGTTTCCCTTGTTGTTTTATGTTCTTACTTCATTAGAAATTATAGAGTTTACCTCTTTTACACATGACAGTTTCTAGAAAGCCCTAGTTAAATGCACAGTTGCCAACTGAACAATTGATGACTTGAGCCCCCTAGTGGCTCCATGGGAAAAAAGACCTGGCAATTTGCTTCCCTAAGGAGCTCTAGTAGTGTAGTGGTTACAAATCGGGCTGCCAACCGCAAGGTCAGCAGTTAGAAACTACCAGCTGTTCCACAGGAGAAAGATGAGGTTTTCTGCTCCCGTAAAGATTTACAGCCTCAGAAATCCTGTACAGGGTCGCTGTGAGTCAGGACCGACTCCACGGCATATAACCACCACCACCAATATGCTTCTATAAAGAATTGTAGCCTAAGAAACCCTATAGGGCAGATCCATTCTATGGGAACTGTGAGTTCCTATTAATCAGAATCGACTTGACAGCTAGAATGCATTTTCTTGACTGATTAGGGAGTGTTGATATTTTGTTGCTTTTTGCTTTTAGACTTTTTACATTTGGATTGGAAAAGGCTGTAACAATAACTTCATAGAGGATGTGCTTGGATGCCCTGATTTTGCATCAATACCACAGAAAATGGTTAGTGGATTTTATTCAACTTCAACTTTTTATTTGTTATTGTTAATTGAGATAAAATTTGAATAACATAAAATTCACCATTTAAAAGTATGAAAGTCAATGGTTTTTAGTATATTCACTGTGCTGGATAACAAGCATCATTATCTAATTTCAGAACATTTAAATTATCCCCCAAAAGAAATCCTTAACTGCTAATCTGCTTTCTGTTTGGGGATTTGCCTATTCTTGACATTGCTTATATATTGAATCACACAATATGTGGCTTTTAGTGTCTGCCATCTTTCACTTAGCATAATGATGTCAATGTGCATCCATGATAGCATGTATTTATACTTCCCTTCCCTTTTTGTGGCCAGGTATGTTAATCATTCTCTGGATATACCACAAGTTTTTATCCATTCATCAAATATTGATGAACATTTGGGTTATTTCTACCTTTTGGCCATTGTGAATAATATTGCTATTAACTTTGGTTGCAAGTTTTTGTGTAAATATTTATTTTCACCTCACTTGGGTATATGCCTAGGAGTAGAATTGCTGCATCTCTACACCAGAATGTTGTCAGGTATGGTGCCAGAAGATGAGCCCCTCAGGTTGGAAGGAACTCAAAATACTATGGAGAAAGAGCTGTCTCCTCAAAGTAGAATTGATCTTGATGATACAAATGGAGAAAAGCCCATGAGACCTTCATTTGATGATAGGACACAACTTGAAATGAAGAGAAACAGCTGTAAACATCCATTAATAATCTGAACATGGAATGTATGAAGTCTGAATCTAAGAAAATTGGAAATTGTCAAAAATGAAATGGAATACATAAACATCAATATCCTAGGCACTTGTGAGCTGAAATGGACTGGTATTGGCCATTTTGAATCTGACAGTTACATGGCTAAATTGAGGAGGAATGGTATCACATTCATCATCAGAAAGAACATTTCAAGATCTATCTTGAAATACAACGCTGCCTGTGATAAGATAATATCCATATGCCTGCAAGAAAGACCAGTTAAATTTATACACCAACCAGTAAAGCCAGTGATGATGAAATTGAAGAATTCTACTAACTTCAGTCAGAAATTGATCAAACATACATTCAAGATGCATTGATAACTACTGGTGGTTGGAATGCAAAGATGAGAACCAAAGAAGAAGGACCAGTAGTTGGAAAATATGGCCGCGGTGATAGAAATGATACTGGAGATCACATGATAGAATTTTGCAAGACCAATAACTTGTTCATTGCACATACATTTTGACTGTACACATGGACCTCACAGACAAAATACACAGAAATCAAATTAACTACATCTGGTAAAAGACAAAAAAGGCCTTTGACAGTGTATAAAACGGACTTAAAAATGAATCAAAAACCTAAACATTGAAACTATAAACTTCCTAGAAGATAACATGGAGACTTAACTGTTGTTGTTCAGGTTCCAGTGAGTCAATTCTGACTTATAGCAATCTTGTGTAGGGGTTCCAAGGAGTGGCTGTTGGGTTTGAACAGCCAGCCTTACAGTTAGCGGTCTAGTGTTTATCCTGCAACACCATACTAGGACTTCAGGGACAGAACTTTGTAGCTGTTGTTGCAGTCCAGCACATTAACCCACATGAGTTAGATTCTATCACAAGACCAATGACTTCTTCATTGCAAATACCTATTTTAAACAACATAGTAGCAACCATACACATGTAGCTCACCAGATGGAATACACAGAAATTAAATTGACTACATCTGTAGAAAGAGATGGTGAAAAAAGCTCCATATCATCAACCAAAACAAAGCCAGAGGCAGACTGGAACAGAACATCAATTACTCATATGCAAATTCAGGCTGAAGCTGAAGAAAATGAAAACCAAGTCCACAAGACCCAAAGTATGACCTTGGTTGAACATATCCCACCTTAATTTAGAGACCATCTCAAGGTAGCATATGACCACGAGCCAATAATACTGAGCAAAAGTCCAAGGTGCTTGAAGGCATTTGCAAAGAACAAGGCTGCAGGAATTGATGGAATACAAATTGAAATCTTTCAACAAACTGATACGACACTGAAGGCGCTCACTCATCTATTCCAAGAAATTTGGAAGGCAGCTACTTGGCAAACTGATTGGAAGAGATCCATATTTGTGCTGAAAACAGACATTACCAGATTTACCTGTGCTTTATTGAGTACCCAAAGGCTTTTGATTTTGTGGATCATGATAAGGTGTTAACAACATTGTGGAGGAAGGTATTCCAGAACACTTAATTATGCTCATGAGGAACCTGTACATAGTCCAAAAGGCAGTCATTCAAACAAAACAAGGGAACTCTGAATGGTTTAAAATTATGTACCCCAGGGTTGTATTCTTCCACCATTCTTAATTTGTTGTTGTTACTAAGTGCTATTGAGTCAGTTCCAACTCATAACAACCCTGTTAAGCGTTTTCTGAGGAGCAGTTGGTGAGTTTGAACTGCCAACCTTGCGACTCAAAACAGACCTTATGGTCCAGTACTTACCCTACAGTGCCATGTGAGGACTCAAGCGCCACACCAGGCTGAGCAAGTAATTTGAGAAACTGGATTATATGAAGAAGAACATGGCATCTGATTGAAGGAAGACTTATTTAACAATCTGCAATATGCAGATGATACAACCTTGCTTGCTGAAAGCAAAGAAGTCTTAAAGTACTTGCTGATGAAGACCAAAGATCACAGCCTTTGGTTTGGGATGCATTTCAATGTAAAGAAACACAAATCCTCACCACTGGACCAATAAATAGCACTAAGATAAATGGAGAAAATATTGAAGTTGTCAAAGACCTGCATCAGCATTCATGGAAGCAGCAGTCAAGAAATCAAACCACATAGTGCATTAGGCAAATCTGCACAAGACCTCTTTAAAGCAAAGATGTCAGTTTGAAGACTAAGGTGCACCTGACCCAAGACATGGTATATTCAACAATCTCATATGCATGCAAAAGTTGGTTAGTGAATAAGGAAGACTGTAGAAGAATTGATGCATTTGAGTTATGGTGTTGGAAGAGAATATTTGCGAGTACCATAGACTGCCAAAAGAACAAACAAATCTGTATTGGAAGACGTATAGCCAGAGTGCTTCTTAGAAGCCAGGATGGCTAGACTTCATCTCTCATACTTCTACCATATCAGGATGGACCAGTCCCTAGAGAAATACATCATGCTTGGTAAAGTGGATGGTCAGTGAAAAAGAGGAAGACCCCAACAGGATGGTTTGGCTAGTGACAGTAGCAGTGGGCTCAAGCAAAGTAGTGATTGTAAGGTTGGCCCAGGACCAGGCAGTGTTGCATTCTGTTGTGCAGAGTCACTGTGAGTCAGTACTGACTCTGTGGTACCTAACAACAGTGACACATGCTTGAAAATATCCGTGGTAACTCAGTGGATTACAAGTTGGCTAGATCATCAGCTTGAATTTACCAGCACCTCACTCTGTCCTCATGGGAGAAAGCTGAATCCTACTCTTATAAAGGTTTATAGCCATGAAAACTTTACACAGGGTTGCTATGAGTTGGAACCGACTCCACGGCACACAATCACTACCATATGCTTAGAGGAGCCCTGGTAGCATAGTAGTACTAGCTGATCTGCTAATGGCAAGGTCAGGAGTTCAAATCCACCAGTTGCTCTTCAGGAGAAAGATGATACTTACTTTCTGCTCCTGTAAATATTTGCAGCCTCAGAACCCCTATACAGGGCCAAATAACCACACCACTATGTGCTTTAGATATTTATTGCTAAATTGACTTTGAAAAGAACAAAAAAGTTGTTGTTTTAGTGAAAAGAATAGACTTTTAGGCCTTTATAAGACTATCTTTATACTTTTGTTTTCCTTAATTATGAGTGAGGTTGAATATTATTTCATACAGCCACTACTGTATTTTCCCTCCATGAATTTGCCATTCAGTCCTCATCCTGTTTTCTTTTGGGGGTGGGGAGGAGGAGGGGGTGGTGGGGGGAATAAAGTGTTTTTTATTAGGAGTCTTTGGGTATTGCAAAATGAGACAGAATGTAGATGTGTCTAATTTTAATACCTGCTGAATGTCCACAGTCAGTGTGTATTGTGTTAATGACACTAGTAATTTCCCTGAGATTATTGAGTGACTGAGTAAACCAAAATTCCACAACCACTTTTCCTAGTTCTTGTATTTTTGCTTTAATTGTCATTATCACATATAACTACTGGGATAGCTATTTTGAAATACTATTCTATTCACTTAGAATTAGGAACGTTGTTCACTTATATTAGTTATTACAGAGTTGAACTTCACTCATTAGTCAGTAGAGGGTAACCAAATGAAGCTTTATGCCTCATAAGCATTTCAATACCACTTTAAAAACAAACAAGTTTCTTTTGAACTCAATGTTTTTCCCATCTTCTCCAGTCCCACCCTCTCCATCCCAGTGGGGTGCTGTTGGAAAATATGCCAGATACATTCTTTTGATAAACCTTTCTTAAAAAGTAGGGATGTTTGTCTTCTGTTAGAGAATTAGAAGGAAGTTATGGCCTTACATGGACATAGAGGATTAATTTCAGCCTGAAGTAAAATAGTTTAATGTAATAAAAAGAATGTCAGACTGGAAGTCCAGAGACATGGCCTCTAGTTTACTTTTGCCATTAAATCTGTATGTGATTTAAGACAAGTCACGTCATTAAATGGTTGCTTAGGTATTTTTCTGTTTCTAATGTTTTTTACATTTAATACTAAATATGTACTGTATGGCTGCTGACACTTAAATTTAAGGCAGAGAAGTCAGCTCAGAAGATTATAGTGACAGTTTTGGGGATCCCAAAGGGATAATCTTGAAAGATTTATCTGTACATTTTAAGTACATAATTCAGTGACATTATTTACGTTTACCATGCTGTGCAAACTACCACTATCCACCTCAAAGGTTTTTCATCACCCTAAACAGAATAAGCGCTAGACTGGAAGGTGAGTTTGAACTGCAAGGCTGGCCATGCCTTAGAAACCCTACATAGTCACTGTGAGTCAGAAACTCCTCAGTGACACTTAGCAACACTAACAAACAGAAACAGTACCTCTTAAGCAATAATGCCCCATTCCCCTTTCCTCCCAGGTCCTGGTAATCTCTAATCAACTAGTTGTCTCTTCTAGATATTTCATATAAATGGGATCAGACAGTATTTATCCCTTTGTGTTTCTCACTTATTTCATTCAGTATAATGTTTTTAAGATTCACCGATGTTATAGCATACATACATTTATTTCTCTTTGTCATTGAATAATACCTCATTGTATAGATGCTTTAAAGAACTTTTAGTTTATTTATTAAATAAATAAATACCATACTGCTAACCACAAGGAGTCCTGGTGTGACACTGTGGGTTAATGCATTGGACTGCTGAGTCGGTTTGAACTGCAGAGTCAGCGGTTCAGACTCACCAGTCACTCCTTGGAAACCCTATACACAATCACTATGGGTAGGAACCGATTTGACAGCACTTACCAACAACAACAACCCCAAGGACAGCAGTTCAGTCCTACCTGCTGCTCCTTGGAAACCCTATTCAGGATCACTGTCAGTTAGAACTCACTCACATATTTAGCCATGAAAGGATATATCTTGTAGTCTGTACACTGTGCTAGTGTTAAAAAAGAATTGTATTGACAATGACACTGATTTTGAAGACCTGGGATATAAGTTCAGTCAAATTTTTCCAACTGTCACCATTAAAAGATCAGGTTTAAATTTTCTACAGAGGTAGTAACTGAGACCAGTTTAGAATTAAATGTGAGAAAATTCTCAAGTGGTTTGAGAAAATGTTTACACATCCCAATTGGACTTTTAAATTCCTATTAAACTTTTAAAACTAAAGGAAACATGAAATTGTTTTTGAATGGTGCTGTAAGATAAGCACTGGACTGCTAACTACAGCTAGCCACTCTTTGAAAACCCTATACAGATTGTAGCAAGGAGGGGAGTGATGAACTTTTCAGTCTAGGAGCAGAGGTCCCTGGGACCATGAAGGGAGAAGAGCAGAGAGCGGGACCCTACCCAGAGAAGCAGTGATGCCTGAGATGGAGGCAGAGACGATGATGTGGAGAGATGGAGCAGTTGGGGACTTTAGACACAGAAAGGGAGAGGGGCTGTGTACTGACGACTGGGGGGCAAGCTTGTAGTGTATACCCTTTGGTTGGTTGATGATGCATGGAGGGGATTGTAACCATGGCAATAAAAGGATTTACGATAGGATGAATGTAAAACTAATGTTCTCCCATGTTAAACTATCACGTAATTCACAATAAAACATTTTTTAAAAACAAAAACCAAAAAACCCTATAGAGAGTCGCTATGAGTCGGAACCCACTCGAGGGCACTTGAACAGTAACAACAATAACATTATTAATTATTTTCTTTGAAAGAAACATAATGACACAAAATCTGTGACGTATTAGACATTGTGTTTATTTTATATTGTTTTATCCAGAAAATATAACTAATTTGCACCAATTTATTAGTTGATTGCTGCTGTTGGGGTTGGGAAATATAAAGTGCTAGGACATGGTCATTCATAGTAGAAATCATAATTGATTTCTAATATTGCTAAAGCCTTTAAGAAAAATAATTTTCTTATTACATTTCTTTTTACCAGACACATCTTCCAGAACTAGATACACTTTCATCAGAAAGAACTCGATCCTTTATAACTTGGCTTAGAGACAGCAGACCATTAAGCCCGATTCTTCATGTGGTAAAGTAAGTACTTCTGCAGTTTTGTTAAGAAACTGTGTTTGCTTGTACAATCTGAAAAGTGCTTGTTTTCAAAGCAAGCTTTAAATAATTTTATCAAAATGTATTCTGGTGGTAAAATATTGTTACTTGATTAACAATCTTGTTCCATTTTCCTAGAGTCCTTTTATATTAGTACTTTCTTCATGTAGTATAATAATTCTTGCTATTTTTTAGTTAAATGCCCTTTTTTCTTTTTTCAGAGATGATAGTCCTGCCAAAACAGAATTTTTTCAACATTTGATTGAAGACCAGACAGAAGCCGCATTCTCTTACTATGAATTTTTGCTTCATGTTCAGCAGCAGATTTGTAAGTGACATGGAATAAAGTTGAAAGAGAAGAGAAAGCTGTCTAACTCAATGTGTAAAGCATGGTCTTTGGTAGAAGCATCTAGGAAATGTGAATTGCAGGCCTTTGTTGTTGTCAAGACACAATACATAGCACCCTGTCTGACACTGCAGCAGAAGGCACAGGGGAAGAAAGAACGTGACGGTGATGCCTTTCCACCAAGTAGGTTCTCAATTGGTTTAGACACATTTCCACATTTCCAGTAGTGCAGCAGTACAGTGCTCTGTTCATTGCAAGCTGGCAAATTTATGTAGCTGTGTGAAACAATATGTCATAATGTACAATTAGATGAATTCTTTTTTCTTACACTTAATAAAACATTTCTGGACTTGAACTCTGACAAGAGATGCCAAAAGGCAGTGGTACCGTGTTATTTGTTTTTATGAATTACTTTTTAACAAAGAATGATTCGTATTCATTAAATGAGTTCAACATTTTCCCTGTAAAAACAAATAGAGTTTTGGTACATGAGCTATAGAAAAAAAATTATATATATAGTGTACATAAATGTTACATTTGTAAAGAAAATGTAAAAATGTAACTACAGAATATGAATTGCTTAAACTGTGCTACATTGTTGGATGACAACTCTCTTTGTCACAGAGAATGAGGTTGAATAATGCATATTATGAATTGAGTCCACAAAAGAAACACAAAAAAAACTCTTTGTAATCCTGTTAAATCTTTTATGTGGATTTATTTATGATCAGCCCACTAATTAAAAATATTTTGCTTGACGAGATGGTTTGCTTTTTGTTGGGTTGGTGGCACTTTACTGCAGTAGGTCAACATTGAATTTACTGCTCCTGGGAAGGGGGAGGGTAAGAGGAATGAAATTGCATTCATTCAACTGTGAATCAGTGTATGCTTTGATTGGTTTGTAGATATTACCAAGTGTCTTAGTGAAAAACACATTGTAATTTTCAAAATAGAGTTAACTGATTTGCCTACAAATTCTTCGATGTTCGGTATGGCTCTGTAGGATAAGCACTGTAGCAGCAAGGTCGGTGGTTCAGTGTCACCAGCAGCTCCCTGGAAACGCTATACAGCGTCACTATGAGTCAAAAACGTCTCAACAGCACTTAATCAACAACAGCAAGGCTAAGTGAGAACCAAATGCACCTCTTCTGACTTAAGTACAAATTCCTAAAGACAGAAACAGATAGCCTTTGTAACTGGAAACTGCCTATAATCCATTTATATTAGGCATTTTTTAATCTGTACACTGACTTATAATAAGAAAAGTCTCATAATTTTCTATGAGAAATGATTAACCCATTTAACTGGCTTTAGGAATATCATCTTGAATTTTAAGAATTATTCTGTCTAATGGACTCTCTTATTTACTAAGAGTTTATATATTATGAAAACTATTTTATATACTATGTAAGTCCCATCAATGAACTTTGAAAGAAAAAGCTGCCAGTATGTGTGGCTGGTATTTTTCACTGACTTTGTCCTTTGGTGGATGTTTTCTTTAGATAAAAATAAAGTACTCTCAGATTCCCTGATGGAAATGAGAGGTTAAATGACTCACCCTAAATGCCGTTACTAATTAGTGACAGAGCTGATACTAAGAGCCAAGTGTTCTCCCCACCCACCACCTACTCCCACCACCACCGCCTTTCGGGACTGTACTTAGCCTATATGTGCTGCCTCCAGCAAGGGAGAATTACATTACACATTAGGAGAACTATAGTTGAACAACAAAAAATATTTATTTCTACTTTAAGAAAGACAAGTATCTTTTGTATTGGATATTTTCTCATCCATTCAGTAAATATTCCTAAGTGCTTTACATTTGTCAGATAATACTTTAGACACAAAACACAAAATCCTTACTTTCATGGGACTCACTTTGAGTGAAGGTGCATTGCAGAGTGCTGGGGAAACACAGTACATCTATATATCATATGTCAAGTGTGGTGAATGCGATACATAAAAATAAAACTGGGAAAGAGAATAGCATGCCACTTGTGATAGCAACCAGCAGTGGGCCTTTCTGAAAAGGTGACGGTTGAGCAAAGACCCGAAATCATCTGAAAGAGGTGCCATCCAAGCAGGGAAACTTGGTGGTAAGTGAATTCATGTGTTATTTTCTGACAGCTCTTGTTTTTCTAGGGAAAAAAATAGCACAATTATCAGCCAAGCAAGGGGAATGAGTAGAAGTTTGATGAAATAGTTCCCTAGTAGAATTGGACACTGAATTGACCAGGGGCATGAAGTAGTATTGGCAGACAGCAAGCACTAAGGGTGGCCTGTCTTTGGGTATGAATGGTGAACTTAAAGTAACACTAGCATCACTGTGCCTTTGTCCTTTAGCCACATTCAACTACTGGGTGAAAAGTTGAATTTAGCCAGGGTTGAAATTTTGCCAGGTGGTATAAAGGATATAGAGGAATAAGGGAGGAGTTGGCAGTATATACAAAAGAATGCCTCTGTGAGTTAAAGACACAAATGGATGATGGATAGAGCAAAGGAGATAGAGTTGATAGTGTAGAGAGCCTGTGCAGGTAAAAGCTACTAATAATGGATATCAGTGTAGTTGTTAAATGCCGTGGAATAAGTTCTGACTCATAGCAACCCTGTAAAGGGTTTCCGAGGAGTGGCTGGTGGTTTTGAACTGCTGACTTTGCAGTTAGCAGCCCAGTGCTTATCTTACAGTGCCATTGCAGAACTCCATGGATACCAGTAGTGAGCATGATTAAGAGATGAAATGCTTGATATTGAGATTTGAGGGAAATATAGATATTGGTAAAGAGCTCTGGTAGCATAGAGGTTACGAGTCAGGCTGCTAACCTCACAGTCAGTAGTTTGAAACTACCAGAGGTTCCGCGGGAGAAAGATGGGGCTTTCCACTCCAGTAAAGATTTACAGCCTCAGAAACCCTATACAGGGTCGCTATGAGTTGGAACCGACTCCACAGCACATAACCACCACCACCACCATAGATACTGGTAATGACAAGATCTAGCATGTGGCCATAGAAGTGGGTGATTGGATGGTGTTAAAGATGTAGTTAGCACAGGTCAAAATGTCGAGTCATGATTTTTTTTTTATCAATTATCTTATTCGATGGTAAAGATCATCAAGGAAAACTATAAAGAGCGGTCGGTGGTGAAGAAATGGGGACTGAAAATGACTGCAGTAAGGAGAGGAAGCAGGGAGCACACTGTGGTCTGGCAGGGTGCACTCAGAGGACCTGAGGTCAGAAAGAAGAGTCTGGATATCACAAATGAGGAATGCCTACTCCACCTCAAGCCAGGATATGTGGACTTGGGGATCAAAAGTCCTCAGCCTTTGAAAGGTTTGCAGGTATCCCCAGAAGACAGCTGGGTTTCTGTTAGCATGTTTGACTGACACAAACCAGGGGCATAGACATGATGAGATGAATTCTGTTAGCATGTTTGACTGACACAAACCAGGGGCATAGACATAATGAGATGAATTCTGATGGGTGACAGATAACCAATTCCCATCACTTCCTTTGTTGGACATGTCTCTGATGATTTGTTTAGTGAAACACAAGGTTTGGATGAAAGGAAAGGGCAGGATTTCCACAAGCTCCGTGAGCTTCCTTCTCAGTCCATTGTAACTAATTACAGTCAGTCATGCTTAGTGTTGGGGGCTAGGGATAGGATCATAAGCTTCTGGCTAACTTTTTGGATATACATCTGTACCTACCCCTTCAGATCTGGTATTCAGCACTTGGGTAAGGACTTGATTAATGTTTTAAAAGAACATCCCAGATGTTTTGAATAACCTCCTACTACCCTTATTAGTCAAAACTACCAGCTGTTCCGCGGGAGGAAGATGAGGCTTTCTGCTCGTAAAGATTTACAGCCTCGGAAAGCCTGTACAGGGTCGCTGTGAGTCGGAACCGACCACGACACATTACAACCACCACCACCCTTATTAGAACCATTGTTTAATTGTTGTTGTTGTTGTTATGTGTTGTTATATTCCTCTGTCAAGGAATTCCTGTTGTTTAACAGGAATACACAATTTGATTTGTAGAAATGCTGTTTTGATACTACTTTTAAGGAATATATATATGGCACAAGGCAAAGCACATCTGTGGAAAAAGAATTCTGTTTTTTTGTTTTAAATGTAAGGATTAATGTCTATATGTGTGCTAAAGACAATTTGCTACCTTTTGTGGGTACTGCAGTCAACTATTGAGAGAATGAAATGCAAATATTAGCAAAGTTTTAAGCTAAGAAAACCATGATACCTCTTATTCAAAGTAGCCTCTCTCTGAAAATTCTTTTGAAGACACAGAAAAGATGAAAATTTGCAGCATAGCTGAAAGCAATGCTGCAGATACTTGTGCCTGAAAAAGTTTGAGCAAAAAGCACTCAAGCCTTGGCATGTGAAGCAGAAGAGACCTGAAAAATATAGTTTATAGTTTACTTATCCTTGTTCTCTGACTTCAAGGAAATTGGGTGTCCTGATCATCCATGTGTGAATAGTACCAGTTAGAAAACGGCACTTGATATAAAACAAGAGGACAGGAAGGGGGTTAGCCATCATCAAAGGACTCAGAGGCTACCCATACATTATTACCTTCTGATGGGTCATGAGGTGATCCAAACCTGAAAGCCCTTCCTTTAGTTCCCATTAGTAAAGAATTCACAGTTCTGTAGAAAATTATTAAAGATCACTCCTCTCAACCTCAAGATAGGCAGTTCAAATTCACCAGTTGCTCCTCAGAAACCCTATGCAGGATCACTGAGTCCGAACCGACTCGAGGATACTTAGCAACACCATTTGCACAAATGAAAAGCAGTGTTTCACTAGAGTTTATTTGAGACTCTACCTCTAAGAAATTTGATTCCCACACTCAAATAGTCTGTCAAACAACTGGCAGGAAGTACTCTACAGACAGTGCTCAGACATTATATAAAGAGTGGCATTGTGGGAGGTATTCGTGGTTTTTGCTGTCAGGTATATGCTTTTTTAAACTTAA